AATAATGGGGGTCCCCTCAACACATTTTGAGAAGTTGGGATCCATTTTTTTGGATGCCCAAAAATATTGCTTATTGCACTTGCACCTACATATTTTTCTCCAATAAACGAGACACAAAAAGATGGAGCATCGTAAAACTAGCCATCCTGTTACTTGTAACACCTAAAATTAAAAAACAGTCCGATAATAGTTGTCCATTATTGATTTGGCACACTTCTGAAGAAATTATAAATAGAAGAGTAATTTTACTATATTACCCTTTGAATATAATAAATATAATGTTTTGAAAAATTTAATAGGGAAATGACTATAATTAATGATAAGGATAAATTAGTGTAAAATTATCCATGGATTTTATAAAATTGACAAATATTTTTGAACATATATTTTTAGTATAGTAAACAAGTATTGTTGGATAAAGAAAATATATATTAATTGAGATCAAATTAAATACATTTATATATTATGTTAAGCATTTTTTTTGAAAATTTGAGAAGTCAATAGATAACATGGGGCCAATGGTTGGTAAAGAGTATTTAAAACTAACTTATCTGTATTAAATCTAACTAATTGTGGTGCCAAAGTCTACTAGAATATTCATATTTTTTAACTTTCTTGGAAATTTTATATCATTTTTCCAAACTTCATTTTTGTGTATATATAATTTAAATATTAAATATGTATGCCTTTTTTCTAATATTTTTTTTGCCAAAAGATACTATTATACTATTAATGGAATAATCACCAAGTCAACTTGTCAAAGGTTAGAATCATCAGTTACAATCTAATTGAAAAAAATACATTTTTGAAAAGAATCCGTTGGATCTAATTTTGTAAAAAAACTCAAATTCATTATCAAGAAGTTTTTGGGTTTAGTTTGGTTTTCCATTCAGTGTTCGATATCTATATTAGAGCTTGATTAATTCGAATTTGTGCCGAGAAATTTGGGGTAAAGCGCTCCCTAGCAATGGAGACTCAAACCCGAGACCTTTTGATTAAAAATAGAGTATTTACCACTCCACCACAACCCTTGAGTTTCAAAACAATATCTATGATGATCTCTATATTTTTCTTTAAAATAAATTATTAGTATCAAGCATAAATTTATATTTTTTTATGTTATAGTATTTTATAAGTTATATCATTCCCCCCTTCAAAAAGTGTATATCCGGCTAAGCATAAATTCAATTGTTAAAAGAATAAAAATTAAAAAATAATTTATTTTAAAATTAAACCATACAATTAAATATCTGTTTTTGTGTAATTTTTTTATTTTACATTCGATATTTAATATTTATATTTGGGCAATAGAAATCCCAATTGAGCAGTAAATCACTTTACCTATGTTTTTTTTTTTATTGGTTAATATAAATGATTGCACAATTGCACAGGAAAATTGTGAATGAATTGATTAGTTGGATGATGAAAGCTAGGAAAAAGATATTATAAAAGGTGGGTCATAATCAATATATAGAGATAATGAAGCTACATGATAGGGGAATATATATTGTGGGGTTTGATGTCAAAATGAATAGGCAAACATATAATATAAAAAAACATTATCTTTTTTATCATTTAATATCACTATCCCTCAAACCATGCAATCAAATAAGGATAAGGACATAGATGCAATTGTCTATTTCTTCACATATAAATAATATCATAACTACTGTTTTATGATAATTTAATAATATCTATTTTAAATAAAAATTTACTCTTTTTTTTCCGGAATTTTCCTTTGCTAGTTGTTTGTAAAACAATTGGAAACTATTGTCCTCTAGTTTTGCACATTTTAATTTGGTACAATAATTCAAGAGTGGTATTAGTAGTTGGAATTTAAATATAAATTGGCTATTTTGTGGCTTTATTCCCTTTTAAAAAATTAATTCTCAATGTTACAATATTCATTGTCTTATTTGATTAAGGAATTTCTAGTTTGAGAATCTCTCAATATTTTAATTTGATTCCTTTAAGGTTGAGCGTATTGAAATTTTGTCATGTTCATGGGTAAAACTTAGGATCGTTTGGTAGCTAATTAGAGTTATATCGATATTAGTAATATAGAAATTAGTTATGTATGTATTATTTTATGTAGGTATTAGTTATACAAATATTACTTTTATCACCTTTTATCATGTATAAATTATACATAATTTTTCTCATAACTTATATATGATATGTCTTAGTTATGCGGAATTCAAAATTACAAATCAACTACCACACGTCCCCTAAACTTATCGAAACCAACTGTTATTCTAAATTAAAAGAAACGTGACAAATGTTTGAACATCGACTTTTTTCGCTCAAACATATTTAATTTATATATATTTTTACTTTATTATAATTTGATATAAATATTTTGTGCAAGTAATGGGTTAAGGTGGAACGAAATATGTAAGGGGTTTATTTGATGTTAGGAATTTATAGGTGAAGAAGTGAAATAGGTTTCTCATTTTGCTTTTATAATTTTGTGAAGGAATTTAAAAGAGATATATAGTACTAAATTATTATAATTTTTAAGGGTAAAAAAGATGTTACAAGAACCTAAATTAGTATATTGTGATTTGAACATTGGAGTAAAATTGAAAGAGGTAATCATACAAAACAATCAAAAGGCATGGGATATGGCTAGTTCAAAAAATTGACTATTGATTTAATCATTTTTGGACTCTTTTGACGATAAAAACCCAACGCCTAGAAAAGTTACAAAGTGTCCAAAAAGAACAATCGAAATTATTCTAGAAAGTAACAAGATCACTTCAAGATTTCAATTGTATACGTTTCCAATGGGCCAATTCAGTGGTCATAAAATAATAATTTAAATTATGGTACCATTATCCATGGTGTATCTATTCTCTCTCTGTTCACTTTTAATTGTCATAATTACTTTTCTTAAAGTCAAACTATAAGAATTTTGATTAACATTTTACGACGTATTTTTTCACCATATTGATACACAAAAAATTGTTATAATAGTACTTTTCGTATAGTTTTAGACTATCTAATTTTTTTTGTTTAAAATATCAAATAAATGTAATCTAATTTAACTTTGAAAATTAGTCAAATTGACTTTTGAAAGTCAACATAACAATTAAAAATAGACAGAAAAAGTAGTTAAGAAGGTAAAATTGAGCAGAAACCAACATTTCCTTTTTACATGTACATTGATGTTTGTAAAATTTTGATTAGTATGAACACTGGTTGAATTGGCATAGCAGATGATATTCTTATGATATACTCCCTTCGTCCCTAATTACTTGTCCATTTTGACAAATCAAGAAAGGACAATTTCTTTTTACCTATTATACCCTCAATTAAATGACTAATTATTTTGAAAAATGTAGAACTTTTCATCCACTTCATAATTAATAGGGGTAAAATGGTAAACTCACTATGTCATTAATTATTTTCTTAATAGGTATGTCAATTCAAAAGTGGACAAGTAATTAGGGACATAGGGAGTATTAAGGACTGATTCCTTTTGATTGTGCTTTTCAGTCGAGTTTGTTGCATTATTGAAGATTGAACTAATCTGGTATGGATTATATTTTTTGAGTGCACACTAACATAAAATAGCGATTGTGGTTTACATATTGATCTTGATTGGCGTGGCTGACCCACAAAGCGACTATTTTGAAAAAACTAAAAGGCTAAGTGACTTTCGAATATATTATTGTCTCACTTTTAAAAAAATGAAATAAATAAAATAATTATTTGAATTTTATTATCTGCTCCTAGATAAATTTTAGTCAGTGTGTCACGAGTGACTTATCGATGAACAAGTTGTGATTGGTCTTGTTGATATAGTTTCATGTTTTAAGCAATTTCGTATTCTAACGGCCCCGCCTTACCATTTCTTCTTCTCAATCATTCAACATATAATGTGAATTTAATGAGTTAAACTCTCTTCATATATTTTTTTGGCAAGTTTACCACCAGACAAAGTCTTTAGTGGTCTTTCATTAAAAATAGAAAAAACTCCCTGGGATAAGTACAAGCAAGGGGTAGGCCTTACCTTACCAATCTTAATGAGTTAAACTTAAACTAAAGGAAAAAGGAAAAGTTTTATAAGGTAACTGTTCGCTCTATAATTGAAAATGAATTCGATACAATTCACCAGAATCTAATTGAGTTTTTGCATATTTTTGTTAATTTATGGGCCTTTATATTTTATCAACAACTATTGGACAGGGCCTTGTCTAGTTGGGCCTTTCGAAAAGAATTATTTTGTGGAAAGAAACGGGCTTTGTCACCACTTATACAAACCCCGTATCTTTTGGGTTCTTCTGTTGGCTCGAAGTATACACTACATATACATTTGGATTTGATATGTATAATTGTGTATGCGTGTGTGTATATATATATATATAGTTTATGCATAATTAGTATAAAATATACATTGTTTAAAAATTATATAGTGGGTACTAGTACATATTGGATTGTAATTTGCCATATTATTTTGTTAATGTTACTCATTACGAATTCACAAGACGAAATGAAACAACAACATTTTATTCGTTTTAGTCTTTCATTCGGATTCACACAAAAAAAATTACTTTGACATAAATTATTCCTTAATTAAAATGATTTCATTCTCAAAATTCGAAAATCGAATAATTTTATCCAAAAATAAAATAAAATACTAAACCAGCTACCTACCAGTCAACTACTTAATGATTCAACAGCAACATGGGAGAGATTTTATCATGGGAAAAATTAGTCCTTATAAAGTTTTGGTTTTTAAGGTGGACGGACCTAAAGGAAATTTTATTTATTAAAAAGGTTGTATTTTGGGTAGGCATTAATCTAATATAACAAATAAAATTTGGTAAAAATTGATAATTTGATAGACACAAGTACCCCTATCCACTATCATATTCACGAAGATGCCATTCTGCCCCAGAAACAGGGCAATGACACCAAACTCTGAGTTCAGAACCTTCAGCTGAGAAAAACCAGAGAGATTGGATTCTTTTCATAATAATCTTACAATAGAATCAATGCTAAAATGAATACCCTTATCACAAAAAGATTCAATCTTCAAATTTTCCCTCAAAATTTTCTCTTTCACTTTCCACAACTTTCCAAGAAAACCCCACATAACACTCATCCATTTCCAAGAAAATTTCCATGTACTGCCAAGAATCTAACTTTATGCTCTGTTACAGCTTCTGAGTCATTATCTTGTAGTGGCTGGGATGACCCAAGTTTCATTGGTGATCCAATTAGCCCTGGTGAGTCCAACCAGCTTCATAATTTTCTTAATAAACTAGGAATTAATGATAAAAAGTATGTCTTTGTGTACCTCTTGGGGTTTGTTTGTGCTTTGGCTATTTCAAGGGTGAAAGTTTCCTCAATTATAGCAATTCCTGGTTGTGTTATTGTTTTTGCACTTGGGTTTTCAATTGGGGTTTTTAATGGTGGTAAAATGAACTTAGATGGTAATAAGAGATTGCATCAAGATCAGATTTTTAAAGATTTTATTGAGAAACTAAGGGTTTTGGTGGATTTTCTTAGTGGGGTAGATGTGGAGATTGGTAATTTGAAGAAGGGTGTTGGGAAAGGTATTGAGTGTAATCAAATTACTGTGAATGATTTGCAAAGTTTCGAAAAGAGTCTGGAATCTATGAATTTTTCTGCTCTCAATGCTAGAAAGGTTATAGAAGGCTGTATTGAAAGTTTGTCAATTGAAGGCCAAGAAATGGGGGGGAAAATCAGTCAAAAATCGAGTAAGAAGAAGAAGGAGCCGGGTAAATATGGCTTCGACTTCTTTCAGATTGCTGCTGGTTTGTTTCAAACAAAGTCTGGTTCGAAGTCTAGTAAAATGAAAGATCATGGTGAGACTGAGTTGATGGACAGAAAGATGAATGGCTCTAAGCAAGGGAATATCTTGAGTTCTGCTACTAAAGAAAGACATTTGAATTTTGATATGGATCTAGACGGCTTTAGTGGCACTTCAAGGCACAGTTTCGATGATGATGCCATTGGACAAGACAGAGTGGGTGAGACATCTGGAAAGGCTAGCAGAATGAATGTAGTTTCTGATGGAAATTTCAATTTTTCCGAGATGGATAGTAACACTGTTAAATCAGTATTCAACAGAGAAGAATATAGTTACCAGACAAGTAGAGTACAATTTATGAGGAACCAACAGGTGTCTCATAGAATGAGTCATCCTAGTAAATTTGAATCTTGGGCTTCTGATGATGGTTTAGCTGATTCTATTGATTTTAGCGTCAGTATGGAGCAAAGTAAAACTGAAGCATCTACGTTGCATGAAAAGGAGGTCGGGAATTTTGAAGGAGTAAGGAGCCATTTTGGTGGAAAAGAAAATGATGAAGACACCTACAGGCATTTTCTTGGAGAGGAGATGAGAAATCATGAAAAGGAACCCTCCATGGCAAGAGATGAGGCCTCAAATGAATTTGAATTTGGTCACTCTCCATCTTCAACAGGTTCCATCGATTTGCAATTTAATAAGTACCTTACTGAGGCTAATTTTCTAGTACAAGAAGCAAAGGACTGTTTAAGGAGGCAAGACGGCGACAAGCATGCTGAGAATGCGTTTTACGAGTCTGCCGTATTGCTCTCAAAAGCTATAGATATCCGGCCCATGAGTTTATTGGCTGTGGGGCAGTTGGGAAATACTTACCTGCTTCATGGAGAACTTAAGTTAAGGATCAGCCGTGATTTGAGAGCTTTACTAACTGATGCTGTATCAGTAAGTAAACGGACTAAAATACGTGATGCGCTAGATGATATGGTTCCAAGGGAAGAAAAAATTACATCTTATCTTGTAAATGTCTGTGAAGAGTGTGAAGAACTACTTATTAAGGCAGGAAGACAGTATAGGTTTGCCTTGTCGATAGATGGGAATGATATGAGAGCCTTGTATAATTGGGGGATTGCTCTCTCGTTGCGTGCGCAGTTGATTGCAGACATTGGACCTGTAAGCATCTTTCTTAAGATTACTTGGTTTAATTTTCTTTTTTCTGATGGTTTGAACTGAAAATTGTGAAATGAGATCAATATCTCATATTACGGACTAATTTAAAATAGCATTGCTTATCAGTTCTCTGCTCTCACTAAAGCTACTAAATTGTTTGGAAACTTTTTCTACCCCTTTCATAGTCAATGTTGTTCTGCCAAATTCCAGGGTGCTGCACGTGATGCTGACAAAGTTTTCTTGGCTGCAATTGATAAGTTTGATGCAATGATCTCCAGAGGAAATGTATATGCACCTGATGGTATGAGAAATAACTATTCTTCCATACTGTAAATTTAGTGTCTTTTATGTGTACTAATCCATGGTTGTCTTCTTTTTCTTTTTTTTTTGGTCTTTATATTTCAATAAGAGAAGTAGGAAGAAGTAATTTACCATAACTGTTGAGAATCCTGGTCTTATAATCATTCCAGCATTGACCATTGTTCAACTTTTCTTCTTCCGCTCTTTTGCGGTGGAGCTACAAAAAATCTATCAACAATAAAGTAGCTCACCTTCCCACTTCTTTCGTCATAAGTTCCTAATGTTTGATTATTAACTAATGAAACGAGAAAGTTGATGTCACCTCAGGGCCAGCTGATTATGGCATTTGATGGATGGTCTTTTTGATATTCTCTTCCAGTCTCTTTTCTTCTTTGCTAAAAGTTGAACTGGTGAAACTGATGTGTTATCTTTGGCAAACTTACAGTTGGATAATAACAAATGAACTAGTAAGAGCGCGTGGAAAGCAAATATTAGCCCCCCTCTCCTCGCATTTATGCTGCTCATTGTTATTATAAGTAATAGTATTGTGCTGGTCATTGTATAGCTAGGCTTTAATGGATGAGTAGCATCAACATAATTAATATGGAGTTATTTCACAAAGAAGGAAAACAAAAGAATTCTATGGATTACTTAACATGTGAGCTTACGACAAATTTTCTTCGTGCAGCTCTTTTCAGATGGGCCACAGCATTGCAGCACAGATCTCGCCTACGGCCTAGAACAAGTAGAGAGAAGGTGAAGTTATTGCAGCAGGCTCAAAGGTTATACAAAGATGCCCTTCATATGGACTCTGATAACCTTCAAGCGCAGAAGGCCTTGTCATCCTGTATATCTGAGCTCAAGTACTGGTATAGATAGTCATACAATAAAATTTTAGTTATCCTTCTTTTTCACCATTTGATAATAGTAAGCCCTTGCATAAACCAAGCTTACAGCCTACAGTACCATGCGGTTGAGATAATAAGCAGGGAGCTTACTAAATACAAATTTCTCATTCATCTGTCAAATAATAGACAAAATCAAAAATAAACTCAAGCTACATTTTCTTTGATTACTACAACATATTTTACTGGTTCCATTAGCAGCTGTATTTACACGGTTTTGTGGCAATTCTTCCGAATTCTGCATAATTGTTTTCACTTGTCTTTAATTTCAGTTTCCTTTACTATCATAGCTCGCGGTATCACTACAGGTTGATGACTAAAAGAAACTACTTACCAAAATTGGATATCAAAACTAATTCATGTTTACGTATCGTCAAGGAACTTGTAAACCACTTGCGCCACAAGACTCATTGTTTCTAAGAATGTCACGTTTAATATTTATACATTTCGTTATAAATATATATACATTTTGTTACGGAATTCCTTGTGTAAAACCAACAAACATGACACAGACAGACAGTCCTGAAAACATGTTTTTTGGTTTTGTCACTTGGTGATTTTTGTTATAAAAGCTGGCATTTCATCATCAAGCTGACATTAAGCACTTGTATGTCTTATTTTCCAGAACACAATGTAACTGAAACTGGAATTATTTGGTGACTTGTGATAAACCAGAAGACAAGGGGAAGAAGAAGTCACATATGGAAACATCTCCAAGGTTGTCAAAGCAGGTCTTCCGACAAAGAGATAAAGGGCCGAAGTGCAAATTGGATCAACTTGAATGATTGGGCCACTCAGATTGAATGATTGGGCCACACAATTAGCCCAACACAAAATCACCCATCCGGATTAAAATGTACAGCTGTAAATAAAAGAAGCTTCTAGCATAGATTTAGAATATTCTTTCTGTTAGTTTGTTACATGCATAACCAATAGGAAATGAACAACTATTGATCAAAATTCAATCAACAATTTTCCTTGTTTTCAATCTTCATCTAATCATCCATGGTTGATACAACATCAAGCGTTGAGAGCTCTGCTGGAAATACAACCGGCTCTAGCAGCACTCCAGCTATGGATTCAAATCATCCATACTACTTGCATTCATCTGATGCACCTGGAATGGCAATTGTCAACACTCCTTTTGATGGTAGAGGATATCAGGGTTGGAAGAGGTCTGTCCTTATTGCTCTTTCAGCTAAGAACAAGTTGGGATTCATAACTGGTCTTCATTTTGTTCCTGCATCTGATTCTTCAGATCTGCAACCTTGGAGTAGATGCAATGACATGGTGACTTCTTGGTTGCTCAATTCACTTTCAAAGGAGATCGCGGACAGTGTTATTTATTCAAGGACTGCTAAGGATCTGTGGACTAGCTTAGAGCATAGATTTGGTCAATCTAATGGTGCCAAGCTTTATCACCTGCAAAAGGAACTCAGCAGGTTAGTTCAAGGGAATTCTAACATTGCAGGATACTTCACTAAACTTAAGAAATTATGGGATGAGTTGGACTCTTTCAACTCCAACGTTAGGTGCACTTGTGTGTGCAATTGTGAAGGAAAACAAAAACTGCAGAAGTCTATGGATGATGAGAGACTGATTGAGTTTCTCATGGGATTAAATGACACTTATAGTCAGGCTAGAGGAAACATTTTGATGATGAGCCCCCTGCCCGACATTAATCTTGCTTATTCTCTCATTTTGCAAGATGAGAATCAGAGGGAAAGTTATATGAGCCCATTCATGCCCTCTGATTCCTCTTCATCTTCCTTCATGGCGGGGAATATCAACCAATACAAAAGTAAACAACCCCAGAGGTTTCAAAACTCATCACAACAAATTGGAGGGCCTGTTCCCAGATCAAACAATTTTCAACAATCACAAGGTAGTTTTCCCAGATCTAACAACTTTCAGCAATCACAAAAGGGACCAAGGCAATTTCAGAAATTTAAAGGGAAGAAACCAAAGTATGATCCTAATGCTATTTGTACACATTGTGGGAAGACTGGTCATGTGGATGATAACTGCTATCGGTTGATTGGGTTTCCTGAGGATTTTCAATTCACACATGACAAAGGACAGTAAGGTCAAATAAGGGGAAATGGAGCAGTGATCTTGGATGAAGCAGAGGATGACAATTATGCTGCCACTGGAAATATTAATCAACATTTCAACAAAGGACAGGTTAACTTTCTTATGCATGCATTCAAGCAGATGAAAGTGGCAGATACACCAAGAAACACAACCAATCCTGACATCAATGCTAATGCAGTAGCTGGTACAATGTTGAAATATTTTGGATCATGTTTTTCTGTTTTCAATTCTAACACTTGGATAATAGATTCAGGTGCTTCCGAACATATGTGCTTCAATCCTAATTCTTTCAGGTCTTTGTCTCCTCTTACAGTTCCCATGAGTATTAGTCTCCCTAATTCTCAATCAATTCAGGTCACACATATAGGGACTGTGTCAATATTCTCTGATCTAACATTGCATAATGTTTTGTATGTCCCTAGTTTCAAGTATAATCTCCTATCAGTACACAAAGTGTGTACTCAATTCAATTTTTCAGTGTTTTTCACCTCTCATCGCTGTTTGATGCAGGTCCCTTCAATGAGGAACCCTCAAGTTTTTGGTGAAGCTAAGGAAGGTCTCTACTTGCTAGAACCTAGTCCTATGGAGTCTAGATTTAAGGATAATGTCTTTGAGATACATCCACAGTTTTCCAATTTGTCTTCCATTCCATTACCAGAATCTATTTCTTTTCCTGTTTGTTCTAATGCACTTTCAGATGTAAGATTATGGCACATGAGACTTGGGCATTTGCCACTATCATCAATGAAAAATATCAGTTTCATTTCTGTTCCTTCTACTGTTGATTGTTTTTGTGATATTTGTCCCCAAGCTAGACAATCTAGACTTCCCTTTCCTATCAGTCAAATTTCCACCAATTCTAAGTTTGAGCTGATTCATGTTGATACTTGGGGACCATACAAGGTTCCTACTTATAATCATTACAAGTATTTTCTCACTATTGTTGATGATTTTACTAGAGGTACTTGGACCTTTTTGCTGGCTACTAAAAGTAATGCCCTTACTGTTTTACAGTCATTCATACTCATGGTTGCTAGACAATTTGATGCCAAGATAAAAATGGTCAGATCAGACAATGCTATGGAATTGGGAAGTAGTGAATCAGGTTCACAATTTTTTGCCTCTCAAGGAATAATTCATCAAACCTCTTGCGTAGCTACCCCACAACAAAATGGAGTCGTAGAAAGAAAACATAGGCATTTACTTGAGATAGCCAGATCCCTTCTTTTTCAATCCAAAGTACCTATGTCTTTTTGGGGTGAATGTATTTTAACAGCCACTTACTTGATCAATCGATTGCCTTCTAAAGTTCTTGGAGGCAAGACACCTTATGAGCTCATCTTTAACAAACCACCTGTCTACAAGTTCTTGAAGTGTTTTGGGTGCCTCTGTTATGCTAATACTCTAGCACATGGAAGAGGGAAGTTTGATCCAAGGGCTAAAGGGTGTGTGTTTTTGGGTTATCCTAATAACCAAAAGGGTTATAAGTTATTGGATTTACATACTAGAAAAATTTGTGTGTCTAGAGATGTACAATTTTTTGAGCATATCTTTCCTTTTTCTTCTGATCAACCAGTTTCTCCTATCTTTCCAGCTCATCCCACTTCTCACCCAGATCACTCTGTTTCACAGCCTGCTAACATACTTCCTTCTGAACCCCATAGTCCTTCTTCCTCTCCTCCAATTTCACCTGTTCCAGCACCATCACCTATTTTAGATTCTTCTAGTCCTTCACCTTCTTCTACTTCCACTCCTTCACCTCCTATTGCTCCTCTTAGAAGGTCTACTAGATCTACTTTGGGAACCCTTCCTTCTCATCTTCAGGACTATGTGTGTAATGCCATCATTCTCACTAATGTCACTGATTCTTGTTTCACCTCTCCAATGGACCCTTTTATTAAGCCTGTTCATAGTCTCTCTATTTCAAATCAATCTATTATTCATTCAGTGTCAGATATTATTGAGCCTACCAACTATCTTCAGGCTTGTAGACATCCAGGTTGGACACAGGCCATGGAAGATGAAATAGCAGCACTACACACTAATCACACTTGGGATGTGGTTTCTTTGCCTATAGGTCGAAAGGCTTTACCTTGTAAGTGGGTGTTTAAGGTTAAGCGACATGCTGATGGTTCATTGGAAAGACTGAAGGCTAGATTAGTAGTGCGGGGTGATATTCAAAAGGCCGGGATCGATTTCAATGAAACATTTTCCCCAGTGGTCAAGATGACCACAATTAGGTGCCTACTGGCTGTAGCAGCTAAGAAACAATGGGGTATTTCTCAGTTTGATGTGAACAATGCCTTCTTACATGGTGATTTACAAGAAGAAGTTTATATGAAGTTCCCTCCGGGTATCGACCCTCCTTATCCTAATCTAGTTTGCAGACTCAAAAAATCACTTTATGGGTTAAAACAGGCCTCCAGGCAATGGTATGCAAGGCTTGCGGGTGCTCTGAGTTTCAAAGGGTTCATTGCTTCCTTAAATGATTATTCTTTGTTTTTTAAACAAAGAGGGGACCTTATCACCATTATTGCTGTTTATGTAGATGATATTCTGATCACCGGTGATGATCTTACAGGGATTAACGAATTGAAGTTGTTCCTTCATTCTGAATTTAAGATCAAAGACCTTGGTTTTCTACACTATTTTCTAGGCATGGAGATAATTAGAGAGCCACAGGGCATCATTCTTAATCAAAGAAAGTATACCTTGGACTTGTTGCAAGAGTTTGATGTCTCTCATCTGCCTTCAGTATCTTCTCCACTGGATCCATCTGTGAAGTTAATTGCAAATTCAGGAAGTTTCATGTCAGATGCTACTCTGTACAGACATATCATTGGGAAATTAAATTATCTAACACATACAAGACCAGATCTTTGCCATGCTGTTTTGGTTCTCAGTCAATATATGCAACAACCATGTCTTGTTCACTTTGAGGCTGCTTTGAGAGTAGTCCGTTACCTTTTGGAATTTCCAGATCGAGGACTGTTCTTCTCTTCTACACCTTCATTTTCACTGAACGCCTTCTGCGATGCAGATTGGGCTTCATGTCGTGATTCACGACGATCCATTAGTGGATTCTTTGTTAGTCTTGGAGGATCGCCTATTTCATGGAAATCCAAGAAACAAGTATCAGTTTCCCTCTCATCTGCGGAAGCCGAGTATAGATCCATGAGGAGATTGGTGGCTGAGCTAACTTGGCTCACACGATTACTATTAGATCTCTCTGTTCATCTTTCTCTTCCAGTGCCGGTGCATTCAGATAGTCAGGCTGCCATACATATCGCAAGAAATCCAGTGTTTCACGAACGCACTAAACATGTCGATCTCGACTGTCATTTTGTCCGACAACAATACATGGCAGGTCTCATTTCTCTCTCATTCGTTCCTTCAAAAGACCAACTCGCCGACATCTTCACGAAATCACTTTCAGGCCCATTACACCATGCGATTCTTTCCAAGATGGGTGTGACTAAGATCCCTCCATCTTGAGGGGGGATGATAAACCAGAAGACAAGGGGAAGAAGAAGTCACATATGGAAACATCTCCAAGGTTGTCAAAGCAGGTCTTCCGACAAAGAGATAAAGGGCCGAAGTGCAAATTGGATCAACTTGAATGATTGGGCCACTCAGATTGAATGATTGGGCCACACAATTAGCCCAACACAAAATCACCCATCCGGATTAAAATGTACAGCTGTAAATAAAAGAAGCTTCTAGCATAGATTTAGAATATTCTTTCTGTTAGTTTGTTACATGCATAACCAATAGGAAATGAACAACTATTGTATAGGTTTTATATTTTCTTTATTCACAGACTTGTATATATCTGGGTGTGGATTGTAGAAGGAATACAAGAAGAAAATTTCCCAAATCAGTCTCATTTCTAACAACTTGACATCATTCATAACAGGCTAAAGTTGGGGTGATTTTTCCGTCTGTCTTTTGTCATTTAATTTTTTTTTTTATAGTGGCCCGGTTAACTCGTATACTAAAGGCCTATTTGGATCGACTTTTGACTTGTGACTTGTGACTTATAAGTCATAAGTTAAAAATCCTAACGTAAGCTTAAAACAAAGTGTTTAAAAACACTTTTTTTTTATCTTATTCAAATGATACAAAAGTGTTTTAAAACTATTTTGACTTAAAATAAATCAATCCGAACAGGCTCTAAGACTTAGCTGAATGCGAACAAATCAAAATGATTGTGTATTTCCAGAAAAGAAAAAAAAACTTATTTTTCTTCTCAGAGAGCAATCCATTAGTCTCTCATTTCTTGTAATAATAAAAATATCTGCAGAAAAAAAATTGCGAGCTTCTGGATAATTGATTGAAAAATTATAGTCCACACAAAATTCAGATTCTTTCCTCTTTAATGTACATTCGCATCGAGCAAAATGTCATTTGATTAATATACTGAGTGATTTTTTCCAAAAAAGAATAAGAAATATTTGTCACTTATTCTTAAAATAGATTTTCATTTTTACTTGTCACTTTTAACATATAAAAATACAATTATATTTTCACCCTCATCATTAAATATTTATTTTCTAAATTATTTTTCAAAACCTAACACTAACATCATTTAATAGAAATAATTTGACAAAATACTTATATCAATAATTATTTTCTTAATGGATGTGCCAAGTGACAAGTAAAGATGAACCAATGAAGTAGTTCAAACAAAATGTTTTCCAATCACTACCAATAAGTCTTCAGTTCATTTAAGCAAAATTTATGCAAACATAGTCCCATTTTTCAAAAAAAAAAAAAAAAACACAATAAATATGACATTTAAAAAAAATTTAACACAATATAAATGGCATTTAATTGTGTATTATTGCTTTGATGTATTCTCCTTTTCTGGTTTACGCTTCGCATTAGCGATACTCCTGAAAACTTCCAGAATTCCTTTAAATGTTACAACTCCGATCAAATTATGGTCTTCATCCATCACCCAAATGGAATTAGCACGATGTGCTAGAGCTTGGATCATCACAGCCACCAATGAACTCCATGGATAACAAGTAATTGCCTCGGATCTTCTTGCTGAAGAATATCGTCCTAGCACAGTAACTTTGTTTGAGCCTGATTCATCATCTGATGAACAGCTCGAAGCAGAAGATGATGATGAAGAAAGTGAAAACTCTTCATCTATTAGTTCCACCATTGCCCCAAGTTTCTTTTCTTGTAACCTCATCTTGACCAACTCGATCAAGTCCTCTGGAGGACCACCGTAGTCGATGTAAGTCATGAGATCACCAGCTGAAAGTGTCGCGATTGCTGCTGCAACGGTCTCATCACAGTAGGCTAGAGTGAAGGGAGAGATTTCACCGATCAATCGGTTGCCTTCATCAACAACAGCAACTGAGCTCTGCTCAATATATGCCCGAATTATGGCATCCAAAGAAGAAATTGCAGGATCATGATAACTAACAGTCATCATATCATGATTTATGATATTGAGTGATTCAATTGAAAAAGTAGGCATAGGAGAGAAGACTCCAATGGAGTTCAGAAGGAACCGGACAATGTCTTCCTGAGTTAGCCAGCAGTATTCAACTCCGTTATGATTTGTGGGAGTCAAAAATGATGCTGTACTCAAAAGTTTTTTCCTCGAAGGGGTGCTCTTGTAGTTTTGAATTGGTATAACCAGATTCTGTGCACCTTCAAGAATGTAATCTATTGCTTCCAACAAGCTGAACAACAAAAGATAAGACACATGAGAAGCCTGCCAATAATCAATCTTCAAATAGATCATATGAAGAATACGTAAACACCCAAAATTATTCAAATCACATCAATACATCTCACTTTTGATCTCATCTATCATAACTTGTTGTGTTCACCATTTTGACCCATAAGTCAATAACAGGTACCAGCAAACACAAAATAAATGAGATTCCGTCAATGATCTTAATATTTTCACGAAACTATGACTCAATCTCAAACCAATTGAGGGTAGCCAAATAGCCAATATTATCAAGAACAAAATTAACCATAATAAATGTCTAGCAAAACATCTATTGAATGAACTCCACATACATGTCAAGTCTCAAAAGAATGGTTCGTTCTCATTTCTCAATGTGCCAAAAGGTTGTGGTACATAAACGAGAAAGTTTAATCAAGAAAGGGCAAAAAGGGAGCATCAAACCTTAGATCTATAATTAGAATAAATGAAATCAGAATATACAAAGTTAACTGATGAAAAAAAAGTTGGGATTTTGAGTCTTCTTTTTCTTTTCAGCACATTCTTTAGCAGTTATCCCCACACATTATCTTAAAAGTACTACTTCATTCTAAAACAAAATAGAAATGAGCTAAGAGAAGAATTGAAGCTTCGAAGAAAATGTAATTGCAAAACGAACAACCTCAATATAATTTTTAATCACCATTTACCAGGCAAGAAAAGGAATTAAAATCATATCTAATTGAATCTGGATTCAAAATGAAGAAAAAAAATCTTCGTAATTACCTAGAATTTGGATCCAAATGTCTGACAATGGAATTCCCTTTAGGCAAAATCTGTTCCACGGGAGTTTGAAGAGCCTTAGAAGGATCAGCCAAATTCTCTTCCTTACAGAGGAAGCAAATCACATCGACCATACAGATCTTACCAATACAGCGGCACACAGAATCTCCTCCACCTCCTCCTTCTATAACCTTCCTTATATGGTCACAGCTCCAAACGCTTACATGAGTCTCGCCGGATTTTTTCAACAATGTCAACGCCTCCGATACGGTGGCTTCGGCTGGAATAGGCTTTAACGCCGGCTTACCAAGACACAGGTCAGATACCTCCCGATTCAGAAAACTTACTGCCATGCAAATGCGAATATTCGACGGAATTTGAAAAAAGTACTAATAAAAAATAGAAGGAGATCCGCCGGAGAATTCTTTTAGAGGAAAATAGGACGGAAGACTTAGTTGGTGCTGGGTTAGAAATGTGAATTCTAGGCTGATTATTAAGAAGAAATTGATGTATTTATAGGTGGTGACTACTGGCAATAACCTATGAGAGGTGACATTCCATTCATTTATTTTTCCTCAAAATAAATATATGCTCTCTCCGCTTCAATTTGTTTGATATACTTTCATTTTTATTTTGTTTTATTATAAAATAGTGAATCTTTCACTCTCAATTTTTCACTTAATTTAAAATTATAAAATTAATGAATATTTAAAAATACTCAATTTTACTTAAAGAGATTAAATAAATTAAAACTAAGTAAATAACTTTTTGCTTTTAACATGTTGTAGGTCCGTAAATAACGAGAAAGAGAAGGAAGGTTCTAGTGAGATTGAAATTTGAAATTGATATGTCGAATTTAATGTAACATTTTATCTTGTTTTGTTTTATCTTGTCAAATCAAACTTGCTTTAAATTAAAAATTACCGTAACATTGTGGTTTGATTTGACTTTGATATGGTGTTAACTTTATTTATTTTTTTTAAAAATCAAAACAATTTATTTAAGCATCAAACGAATAGTGTTTGAAGTCCTAATTAATTTAATTAAGTCGAACAAATTAAAACAGGTAGAATATTTCTTTTGGAGATATGTGTGGACTAGTCATTAAGTAGAAATGGTCCCTTTTTAGAACTGGGATCTATCTCAATTCAAATCAGGCAACAACTTATATAATATTAACTATTAATTCAATTTATTTACGTAATAGTTTTGACTTGAACTCTATCTATATAAAAATTAAATTTCAGGCTTAGTAATTAAAATTACTAGTTAGTTTGGCGATATTCAAAACCTATCAAATTTAAGTTCTCAGACCGCTTATAATTTTTTATACGTTTTATTCTCATATATAGGTTTCTCATTTGGTAAATATCTCATATCTAAATTTATTTATAAAAGTTATTTACAAAATTGTGACCAAACTAATCGTTGGGGCCTGGGGGTAGATATACTTTCTATAACAAAGATAGTGTGGGCCCTGCGAATCTAAAGTGATTAATGGTTTTGATTAAGATGTTTAACTATTTTCATGGGCAAACTGAAATTACATTAAGTTAGATCTTAATTTTAGCATATTTAGCATAACGTAAGATGCGTGTATATAGCTAATCTGAAAATTATGAACCGAAAATAGTAGGTTAAAACAGCAATTAAAGGGTAGAAACCGAAACACAGTTTTAAAATTAATTGCAGATATTTATTGTCTCAAACTACCAGTGCAATTAAAAATTTAAATCTGTATTAATGGTAGGTAAAGTGATGGCTCGTTAATGTAATTAGGAGTAGTTTGGTGATTGGTATAATAATTTTAGGATAAACTATAGGATTAATTTATCACACGTTTAGTTGGAGGTATTAGGTAATTCTTGGATTATTTATCCCATTATTTTTTTTCATAGTGCCATAATGCCATATACATGGGTGAAATAACTTATCTTGAGATACTAACATGGGTTGTGGTGTAGTTTGAGACTGTTTTATCCTTAACCAGAGATCTCAGATTTTAGTCATGAGTATGGAGAAAATCTTATCGTGAGCGCTACCCCTGAATGGACCCTGCAATGCGTGATCCAGATTTTATCAGGGCTCCAATATGGACTTTGAACAAGTGGAAAAAAAAACTTATCTAGAGATAACTTATCCCGAGATAATTAGAGTCAAAATAACTTGTTTCCAACCAAACGACCCCTTAGGATTATTGGAGAGTTAAATAGAATTACGCCACAAATTTATGATATCGTTGAGTTAAAGATGTGATAAGTTATTCGACGCTATTAATTAAATACTAAGTTAAGTTTAATTAAGGAAATTTATAATGTTCGTATTAGATGAACATAATTAATTAATTCGATTGGATAGCTCGTATTTTCTTTGAATATTGAAGAAAAATGGGTCTAAATGGACCAAAACATGTTCAGGTTGAGACGTAATTTTTATGATTTTTGTTATTATATTTTTAATACTAATAAAAAATATTTGGAAATGACTTTCGTGTACTCATGAAATAAAAAGAAATAGTGTACTCATGAAATAAGAAAAGAAAGAAGCAAAGATTAGCTTTAATTTGTATCTCGCAATTTCGCACCAGATAATTCGTTCAGTTTCATAGTCTTTTACGTTTAAATTTGTTTGCATGATTTTTATTTTAGAATCAAATTTTTAAGAAGTTTCTTTTTTAATTATTAATTTTAACTTAAAAATATGTATAATATATGAAAATATTATTCAATTTTGTATCTTAAAGGTGTTATATAAAATGTTTTTTCAAATAAATCTTTTTTAAATAAATGAAAAAGTAAAATAAGACAAATAAATTGAAATAACTAAATTATTGTGATGTATAATATGAGTAATGATTAGGAGTGTTAAAAGAATATGAAAAACTAATCAAACTGATCGAACCTAGTCGAATCGAATCAATTTATGTCAATTTTTCAATAAAATCGCAGATTTTTCTTTAAGTGTAGAACCACTCCGAACAATTGGGATGATCTTTTTAATTTATGAAAAATTGAAAAATTCTCACGTGTATGTAAATTTTTATATATTAACAATATGTTAAAATTAATATATAGTATATTTTATAAGTAACATTTTTCTATAAATATAACCTAGTAACTAGGCCTTTGTTGACTGGATGACTTTAGGTCTTTACTCTTTAATTAGCCTTTAATTAATTAGGTTTAAAATTAAAAGATATTATAATAGATACTCTATCAAACAATACATCAAAACCTATGCAAACACTCCTCTAAATGTTTAAGATCAAATAATGCAGCAACAAGATTTTACATTCTTGACTTCTTGATGAAGAATTGAAGTGCTTCTTCAAGAATATATTTGCGAATGAAATATTTTAATAATAATATATTTTGAGGTGATATTCTAAAAGAAAATAATAATATTAACTGAATCGTACCGATAAAAAATATCCAATATGATCGAAATGATTTCAAAAAATTAATTTAATTATATATTATAAATTATTCAAACAATTAAAATAATATAATTTTAAAAAAATAACCAAACGAATCGTTACATCCCAACAGTCCAACTAATGATGATATATGTAAAGCCTTTTGCAGATATTATTTGTAACGAAGGCCATGTGCATTCACTAAACAGAAACAAAATAAAGTCATTAATAATTAGTCATATATGGGGCCTATATATGTGCTGTATTATTATTATTATTATTATTATTGTCAAAATGGTGCATTCACCAAACAGAAACAAAATAAAGTCATTAATAATTAGTCATAAACGGGGCCTATATATGTGCTGTATTATTATTATTGTCAAAATGATGATACGGTAAAGTACTAAAAATGCCATCAACTTGTATCTAAAGTTCCTCTCCCACACGTCCTTATAATAACATACAAAATATATTAATCAGAAGAACTCTCTAGATACCCAAAAATGCATTTTAGAAAAGATAAAGGAAAATTTATACAAAATTTTCGAACTTCAATGAATATCTCGTAATTTTAGAATAAAAGATCTTATAATTTATTTATCTATATATATTTATATTTTAACACAATCACTTGATTGAATCTGTGGGAATTGAAATGAAATTAATAGATATTTCTATTTCAACTAACAATAAAGTATAAACGATTTATTAAAATTTTCTATAGGAAATAATTTACCATTGATTACCAATCAAGGTACTTATTTAAAAGAAGATATATTTAATAGAAAATTGGAGATTAAGGTCTAACTAAACATTGGAGACAAGAAAAGCACTAATCATGTTTAAGTTAGAATTGTGACTTTTAAATTTTAATTAAAATCCTGAATGATAAGTTTAAATATTTAAAGAATTGAACTACGGCACAAAAATTAAAGTCTTTGAACTTTTAAGTTGCTCCTTTTATTGAATTTTCCTATTATACAAATGAATTTTGTTTTTTCTAATCCACATTAATACAACTTTTTGTTCAACTTGGCAAATGAAATTCAACGATGCATTTAAATATAGAATAATATAACTAAACAATAAACATCATAGAAGACAATAATATTTGATTAAACATCAAAGTTTTGAATATTCTTCTATGTGCCAAAAGTTTAAAACAGTAATATTTGATTAAATTATTTACAATTATTAAAAGAACAAACATAAAATTTCTAACTCCATCACAATTTTAATCGCGTAATAATTATCAATGAGACAAAATCTTTGTCTATATTCTTTTGTCGTAGCTAAGAAGAGAGAATTAAATGGACAAATTGATAGGAGACTAGTGCACTTTATAATCTTCCAAATGTGTGGAGCAAAAAAAAAAAAAAACGAAGAAGTAACAATTTCCATTGAGTAGGAACTTTGTCCATTTAATTCTATAGGGTATAGCAAGTTGGCCTTTTAATGATAGAATTTTATTGTTAGGAGTCGTTTGATGTGAGATATAAAATATAATAATTTTAGGATAAAATGTATGATTATTTTATCATGTATTTGGTTGGAGGTATTAGATAGTCTTGAGACTGTTTATTCTCCTATTTATATTATAATGATATAATAAATTATTTTATATATATTGAAATAACTTATTCCGAAATAATTAATCTCATAATAATAACTTATTTTTAACCAAACCATCCGTAAGAATCTTAGATCTCATTTTTAGTGGATGAAGATAAATATTCAATTTGTGGAATCATCTCAAGAACAAGACAAAATTGATTTAATTAATTATTACGACTTTAGAACAGAACTAAAGAATATTTTAGAATATGCCGCACATCTATATATAATATTTATACTTAAAAGCTCCTGAACTTTAGGCTAAGTGCCTGTGTGACCAAAAAAATATATTAAAGAAAAATGAGAAAGTATTTTCGTTTTAAAAAAAAATCTCAGATCAATAACTACTTTTAAATAAAGTAATTTGTGTATGGTTAATTTTTGTTAAAAACTACTTTTGAGTATTAGATTAAAAAAAAGAGTATAAAATTACAGAGTATTTTTTTGTTAACCTCATTAGTCATAAATTGTATCTTTCGAATTTTTGAAAACGATCTGACATTCTTTTTATTTATTATTTTTGTTAATTTCCCAAACATATCTAATTATAGAAACAAAAGGAGAGAGTGACCCCAATGTTACTTCTTTAAACAAATTGTATTTTTAAAATTTTTGTGAACTATAGAAAAAAATTTATTTATTGCCGTGTCCTTTTATTTCTTTTCTTCTTGTTGTGGTTTTGTCATTCATGTGTCAACTTAGGTATAAATAAAATGAATAGAAAGGAGCTAATAAATGGAGAATGAGACTTGACACACAAATTCTTCCATACACTTTACCTAACCAATCACAAAACAATTTCTTCCCAAAATTTCACGTCATCACAATTTTAGAGTAATACATTTACGCATTACTTGAACCGAAGTCTATTAGAACAACCTCTCTATCTTACAAGGTAGGAATAAAGTTGCGTATATCACCCTGCCAACTTAATGGTTTTAACTGTTAGTTATATCATACATCTATGTAAATTGAAAAACAATAGAAAGTTTTATTAATATATAATGTAATCATCAATAGCCAACTGTTTTGTTAGTGCTGGATTTTATAATTTTAGATTTTTATTATACATTATATTAAGAAGGCAAAAGGGAAATAAATAAAACTGAAATAAAAGGAGGTCCTACCGGGAGTCGAACCCAGGTCGCTGGATTCAAAGTCCAGAGTGCTAACCACTACACCATAGAACCATCAAGCTATTACACTTTGTTGTTTCCTAATTTGGAAAATATGTAAATGAAATGTGTATGATGGAAGTTGTTTTTATCGAAAATATCTTTAACCTTGGTGTGAATTTTGCTCCCCGAACTTGTGTGAGTTTTAAAAACACCCCTTTATTTGCAACATGAGTAAAATACACCCTTGAATTTTCGCCAAATTTAGGAGTGTTTTCAACACTTCTCTCAACATTTTATTAAGAGTATCATGCTCCTATAAAAGTTTGAGACCATCTGCTATGTTATGTTACAGCTCGGAAGTGAATTTAAGTTTAGTTAGTCAAGTAAAGAGTTTTTTTAAGGATGTCAATCATTCGAGGACGAACGATAGAAATTAAAGTCATTATTTTTTCCCCACAAAACTAGTACTTATAAATTATAATGTTTAATGTGAATTTTTCGAAATAAGACGGTACCTACTAGCTAGGTGGGACTACTTGATATTTGAAATTTTAATTAAGAATTGATAACTTGTTAAATAAGTGATTATTCAAATGGTTTTTAAACATATCTTAATTTTATTTTTTTTGGGTACACTGGAAATACGTTAAACATATCTGAATGCTAATCAACTAGTTGCCACAAGCATTATCTAAATCTATGGTCGGAGCTTAATAATATCTATTATTAGCCTACTTTAAAAAGACAGTTTAACAAAAGACAAAAGAATAAATAAATTAAAATAGGACGTTGAATTTGGTCATGTAACTATGTTCTTAAACTTGTTGGTACACATGATAACATAAATTTTTTTATGTTTAATCATACAAAAAATAATACATATATATGCCACAGAATAATTAAACATAATTAAGACCGTACACTAAATTGTTTATGAATTGTGATCAATGATTAATCATTTTTCTTATAATCACCGATGGACACCTAGGTGAGAATATTTTATTGAGGAGCAACAGAGCAAGGGATGAGAAGATATTGTTAATATAGTCCTATTAATTATTTTATCAGATCGTCAATTTTTTATTTATACCTCTTCAAATTTTTTTAATGTTCAGTTCTATATACTAGATACGAATTCAATACTTAAAGTTTATGATTTCTACAGGTTATATCAACCTAAAATTAATACTATGACAGAGAGAGTCCCCAAACTCACATGAATCTATAACCCACAATATATACTATATATAGATCTACCCTTACTATGTAAACAAGATTAAAAAAAATTCAGACGACATAGAAATTACATCTTATAAGAAAATTAATAATATTTCACTTTAATAAGTATCTCGTAATGTTATATCACTTTCTAGTTCGTAATCTTTTATATTTTGCCCATTATCATAAATTATTGAAATAAACATGCAGGTATAATTAATAATAATTCACTTCCATGAAAAATATGTATTTGATTAAAGAAAATGAGAGATAAAACGTGCTCATTTGACTAAAATGAAGATAGAGAAAGACAAAAAAATGTTTCCAAGTGTAGTGGTAATTGTTTGTCTATTAAGATTGTGATCGATGAAATGAATGACGAAATTCTTTCGCTCATAATCATAAATGTTTGAGTTTGAATTTAGAAAATGAAAAAAAATATTCTGATTATGTATATTTTATATGATATATATTTTAATTAATTGAATCAATGACTTTTAAATCCAAATAATAATTCAAAAGAATAAAAATAGATTGTTTTGTTCGATCTATTGTTTTCAAATTTCCATTATGATAAAATAGTTTGTCTGGATGAATAATAGCCACGATGACAGGGAGGGACTAAAATTATGCTACGTACGTAATGGGTGGCGTATGATTGTAAGTTGTAGGGGTTTCTAATAACTGGTCCTTAATTTCTCCAAGGGACGTATTAAAGGGGCAATTGAGGACCCCGTAGCATTGAATTCGTTCTTCTTTAATTTATGTGATATCATCTAACTTGATATTTAGTTGGTTGGTTAACTGAACTTTTACTTTCTTGATGATAATTCGACTTTTTATATTGTAATTCTCTTTTCACCCTTATTTAAAAAATAAAAATAAAATTGACACAAGATTTAAAAAATTGATTTTTTTTTTTAAAAATAATTCATAGAACTCTCAAAAAAACCAATTTAAAGGGTAGAAAAGAAATTTGAGAGTTAAAATCTTTCTGATTATTAAAATGGACTAAAAAAGGAGAAATATTAATAACACCCCTAACTTTCCGAAGTATTGATAGCCTCAGAAATACCTCTCTACTTGACTAATTAAACTTAATACACATCTGATATGCCACATGACATAACAAGTGGTTTCAAACTCTTGTAGGATCATGAGACTCTCAGTAAAAAAAGAAATTAAAAAAAGTGTTGAAAACATGCTTAAACTTGACGAGAACTTAATGATGTATCTCAGTCATATTGCAAAGATTGAGAGTGCATTTAAATTCAGTTAATAAAATAAAAGAATATTTTTAAGATCATCAATAATTAAGGAATGAAACTAATAATTTGGACCCAATTTAAAGATATTTTCAATATTGTATGAAAAGAAAAATATGCCACAATTATAATGTGAGAATAGATAGAAAAGAATATACTTCCAAACACATGCCGATAAGAAAAAGATTTCAAGTTGAAATATAAATAAGGCCATGACCCCGTGTGAACTCCGCGTTTTGGTCTTATCGAGTTTGACACATATACACGTATTGGATTTGTGGAATCTTGAAAGGTGGCTTTATGGGCCATGCTGCTTGGAGGCGTCGCCGGATAAGACTAAAAAAATATGTTGAAAAATTTGACAATAATTACAATTTGCTATGATTGTTTTTTTATACTAAAATATAAAAAATATGCTTTATCAGTACATTTGAATGTACGATATTATTAATCATGGTTGTTGTAACAGAAGCCACGTTTCATTACATATCATTTCTTTCTCTACTATATATATATTTGGGGTTTGATAGTTCTCTGTTTCTATTTTGAGTTTTCTTCGTTGGCGCCAACTTGGGTTGTGAAAATAAAATAGAAAAAGTTGTTCGGTGTGATGAAATATTTGTTTGGGTTTGAAATTAATTGTATCCGAAGAAGTATGACGTAAATAGTCTATTTTGACACAAATATATATATTATTAGCATGGAGATAATTATCTTTGATCACCAAGTCCAAAACCTATCCCTTTAGAATTTAGATTGGGTTACAGACTGAATACAAAATGACCTGTTTGGGTGGGGTTAGGTGGCTGATTGAGTAGTAAGGGTCATGTTTAGTAACTGGTTAGAGTTATGCAAATATTATTAGTAGAATTATATATATATAAGATATATGAATTAGTTAAGTAGGGTTAAGTTATTTCATATTATATATTCGGCATAAAATAACACATAAATTTCGTCAAATATATATATATATATATATATATTAGTTATACATGTTTTTAAATTACATACCGAATCTATCGTATTCGGTGCGTTGGAGTTTATACCAACTAACAAATGATTCATAAGGAATTTAACCAAACTATCTAAACATGAAGTATGAATTAGATAATTTTCAAGGTATATATGACATATATAATGTTCTCTTCCTTTCTATCTTCTTTTTTGCCCTCTTTGCCTTTCTGAAGCTATAACAAAGTGAAAGAGAGAGCAAAACATAAGTGATTTTGAAGTAGAACAAAATATTCAATTTCAAATTATTTATTGTTATTAAGGATATATAAATTGAGATGTGAATAAAGGTTGACTAACTAAGATTTAAATACTAAAAATGTTATATATACATTAATTTTTTTTTTTGTAAACACTGTGAATTCTAACAACAAGAATGGTGACAGAAATTCAGCCCAAATCACTTAAATATGGGCCTCATTTAGCCCATAAACCTATTTTGTGAGAGATATTCAGCCCACTTAGTTGATACCCGATATTCAAAATCGAATTCGAATCTTTTCCCCAATTCTGGTTCCATCAAAATCAGAGAACTAGGGATAGGTTTTGGACTTGGTGATCAGAGATTCAAAACTACTGATATGCCTCGATATGAAAGTAAAAATGACGATCGCAGAAGATCGTCTCCGTATTCTTACGAAGATCGGAAGTCGCATCATCACCAGGTTAATTTTTCTCTGAAAAATTTCTGGCCATATGATAAGTTGATTTAAATTGCTCATAATTTGCTTGAATAATTTAATATAATCATTACAAAATCTAGAAACTTGACCTAATGAAGGAAGTGATATTATGTGTATAAACAAATTACTAAAATACTGGTAATCTTCGACGTGATCTAAAGCAATTTAATCTGAGAAAGAGTGCCTAAGTTTTTATTTCAAGGAACAGTTAGTTGCATAAAGATTACGACTTGAAGCTCCACTAGGCCAATTATTTGTGTTGTGTAGAGATTAGGGGTACATAACTCGCGGGCAAAACCAATAACCTGAATGGAATAAGTGTTGGTGGTTTATGGATATCAGGTTATTGAGCTACCAAATTTGTAGGATGAGAAGTGGTTGTGTGCGAATGGAACTTTTATGTTACATTGCCACATGGTTGTGGCTGCAGAGAAAATGCAATCCCAAATTGATTGAAATTCTCATTTCTAAGACCTTCAAGAATGAAAATTAAAATGTATTAGCCCTGTCAACTTTACTTTTTCCTGTTTCTAGAGAATGTAGAAAGTATTAGCTAAGGGTGTTACCTTGGAGTAGTAATGGACCTTGGTGTCTATCATGGGAGAAAATGTTGACAAAAAGAAGTAGGTGGTTTATTGCAATACTTCTTAAGCTTTGGTGGAAAAAGAGCTGCCCGGTATATGTTCCGGTGAGAAATAGAAGGTACTCGGTGGATTAGTTGAGCTACGCGTAAGTTGACCCGGACATCACCATATTAAAAGGTAAAAGAAGTACTTAAAAATTATGTACCCGATGTAGCAATTCCATACTTGTTATCTAGTATGCCAATTTAATGTTGCTAAACATATCCTGGAACCATGTAGAATGGTGTTGGATATATTATGGAACTTCAGTATTTGATGTTTAATAATTAAAATATGCATGTTGTATTCATTCAATTCGATTTAATTTCAAGCACTCATATTTAAAATAACCTGGCTCTTTTTTGTTTCCTTGCATTGTCAACTCCATAGAAGAAGCTTTTGATTGGGAATGTTGATTAGTTAGGCCAATTTTAGTTTGTATGTCATCTCCTGAACTCGTAAGCACATATTTCTTTGCTTGCTGCTTTGGCCTAATTTCAGAATATTGTCTAATTGGACTTCTCCAGAGCCAGTCTAATGGATCACAGCACTACAGAGTGAAGGCTAATGGTTCTGGAGATCAAGACCATCACAGTCACCGTGAGGAGTACAAGGATAAAAACACTAGGAGCTACAGAAGAAATGACGACAATGAGGATTACAGCCGTTCCAGGAACCATAAATTTGACAGGTCATTTTAGGAAAAGTGTTTGTATGCATAAGCTTTAGATCTTTCCATATGTTATGATGGTTCTTTTGTGGGGTAGGGGGTGAGTTCATTTTGAATTGATAGGTCATACTTCCCTCGTGGTTCATTTTGTTTTGTCCAATTTCCAAAAGTTATCGCTACATTCAATGGGAAGAAATAAATAATTAGAGGATTAGTTAATTTATAGGATTTGCTATTTTTGGAAACACATAATTAATCTTGATAGTGCTTCTGGAATCAGACAAACGGTTCGATGAGGAAAATCAAGGCAATCCAATGGGCTCTTAGCTGGAAGTCTTTGTACAGTTGTAATTTTGGCCAACACAAGACAATTCTTTGTTGTTTCACCAATAAAAAGAATATTTCTTCGATGGGTTTCCTTCACTTTTACACAATTTTTTTTTGTTAAGTAAAGCTTTTAAAGTAAAATCAATGAGCAACACTAGCACTAAGGCTGTTCTGGACACTACAGTAGGATGTCCCAAGTACAAAATTTGTTCAACTTTGTAACAAACTAACCGGAATCTATCATAGAGTCCTCTTCATATGCATATTGTAAATTCACCGAGAAGCTAACTAACTAAGCACCTATGTTTGAAGACAAACAGCGCAGTTCTTCTGTTGAAACATCTTCGATTCCTTTCTTTCTGCACCACCCAACAGACAGATGCAGGAATGGTTCTCCATAATCTGCTCAGCACCCAAGGAGTTCCTCGACATTCTTTGGCATCACATATCTTAACCCCAAAATATGTTCAAAATAAGGTTACACAACTGGGAAGGTGGGAAAAGTGCGAATAGAAAGAAACAAAGAAGATACTTATCATTTCATATCTCTCTTTGTACTTCTCACAGCAACAGATTCTTGGCAGCTTATTATATATTAAAGAATTAAAGAAAAACACAAAGCCAAATTATACATATAAACCTTTAGTCTGATGATGGATTGTATATATAGCTTACATGATTTTTACGAGTACAAGTAACACACTGGATAAATGATTATCATTTTTTTTTGAGAATGGTAACATTAAAATGATTATCATTTTTTTGGCCATTTGGTTATTATTGTGATTTTATAGGCGCCAGGATCGTGGAGGTAGAGAGAAGGGTGAGACACGTAGATCCCGTTCTAGGTCAAAGGATTGGTCTCATGACAAAGCTAGATCAAGATCAAGTTCTCCTTTACCACCAAAGAGGTTTCCTTATAATTTTTTTAACAATATGAATTTCCAAGTTGATAACTCGTTATTCCTTAATACGTTGTACTCACAAGTTTTCTTTTCACAAATTATGGCAAGATCTCAATTAGTCACATTATCATGTGGTTTTATTTTAAGGGTGTGTTTGGTATGTAGGAAAATCCAATTTTCCCATGTTTGGTTAGTCAAATTACTCTCTAGAGTATATAGATGACCCTGTGGCTACTGTAGACATTCTAAGGTCCTTATAAAGATGAAGGAGGATCTAGGGATAGTTTTCTTTTTTCTTCTTTTCTTTATCTTTTGTTTATGCCCGACGCACAAGTGTGGAGGGAGGATATGCTGTAAATTTTTGGATACCAGCTTTGAGCTGATGATTGATATACAAATGTTACCTTTATCACAAAAAATAAAATTACTCTCTAGGAAAAGAAGTTCCTTTAAAATGAAGAAAATGACTTCCTTAATTGAAGTTGAAAAAATAAGTCACATAAGTGACATTGTAAGTTCATTATCTCTTACTCACCCACCCAACATCCCCCATCCCCTCCTCTTGACCATCCCCACCCCTGCCACCCCTAAACCACCACTCCCCACCACATCCCACTCCTATAGTGGTTTGCTAGATAACATAAAATACTCTTGAGATAATATTTTTATGCTTACCTACCAAACCTTAGAAAATAAGTAAGAAACCCACTTATTTTTCAAGAAAACATTTTCTAGGAAAATATTTTCCATGGAAATCATTTTCCTCCATACAAACACACTCCAAATGTTTGCAATTTTTTTATTATATTAAGAGGATTCATGTCTTTTTCTCAATGCACTATTTCATTTTCCTGCAAGGGATTCGTTTGTTTTCGTTCTTGTAATACATGAATCTATTTTACTCAAATCATAGAAAAAATTCTTGATTCATTCAACTCTTCGAGGCATCCACAAAATTGATTTGTCATAGGCTGTTTTTCTTTTCGACAGCAAGCGGACAAGTGGCTTTGATATGGCTCCACCAGTTGCAGCATCTTTTTCTAGTGGGGCAGGTTAGCATTTAAAACCTGAACAGCACATATAATTATTGCTCTCTCTTACCTAAAATGATGTCAGTCCTTTATTTAGAGATTAATGGTTATGTTCAATATGATAAGCTTTAATTTGGTTTCATGCTGATAATTTCTACTTGAACTGAGAGATCGTTGTTGTGTTGTTTGCTGTTGTGTTGGTTCCTTTTTTGTGATTTTGTTACATATGGCTAAGAAGGCAATATTGGACTTTATGTCCCACCATGCTACTCGTGGGCGTGAGGACTGTAGATTTAATTCAACGAGGAATCAGTGCTTCGGTTAGCTGGAACTTTTCCATCATCAACAGCAACTGTTGTAATTTGGTAGACTCACAATTGTTATCCAGGAACCTGCAGTGGTGGAATATAATTCTTGTTTTATTATCTGAATGGTATACAATATCTTGGTAAGGAATAGTAGTTTTTCCCCTTTTATGCTCTCTCTTCTGGTAAAAAGTTGCTAATTTAATCCCTTTGTGTCGAAGAATAAATTTTTCAAAATTTTTTATGAGGTAATCTGTTCAATTTTAGCATTTAAATCTGTCATTTGTCAGTTGTAACACATTATAATTTCTCAGTTCTTACATTTTGCTTCATCACTATCGATTCCCTCTTTACTTATTCCTCATTATGTAGAACAATTTCTGGGTTCTTCCAACGGTCATCCATCGATTACTGGAATGTTACAGAATGTTTTTCCAACTGATGCAACTCAGGTATGACTATTTTAATTCATATGATTGTTTCTTATATTTATTTTTTGCATCCTCAAATGTAGCTTTTCCATATGGATCCATTTAATTATTTCTCTGATTAAGGTGTCTTCAACAGGTTAATCCATTAGGTTCATTCCCTTTCTTGCCAGTCCAAGCCATGAGTCAGCAAGTAACTATATTCTTCTGAAGCTCAATTCTCTTCTGTATTTACAACAAGTATTTCACATTTTTTTCTGTTTTGCTCATAGGCTACAAGGCATGCACGACGAGTCTATGTTGGTGGCCTTCCACCACTGGCTAATGAACAGGTATGGCGATATTGGTATAATGGTCCATTTCCATCATCTTTCATCCACATTGTACCTGGGGTCCTGACTTCTCTCTGAAATGGTTGTCATGACTTAATGGCACATGTTATACTTTATTATCTTTTTTTTAAGCTTGCACATTGTAGAGGCTGAATTGTATTACATGTATTCTAAGATTGGTAATGGTTCTTCAAGTCATGAGTTTGATCCTTGCCACGGACAAAAAATCTGTTATTTAGAAGGGTGAGGGAGCATGCCCGCTATCCATGGAGAGATTCGAACTGTGCATATTAGAAAAAAGAATGGTGATGACTGTTAGAAATGGTTTTATGGTAAAAGGGTGAGAAAATGGTGAAAACAGAGGTTCATTGTAGGGTCGGAGACAGGTATAAATTTTAACTTGAGGAGGAAATGTTTTGGAAACAGCTCCCTAGCCATAGGCATATAACTTACGATGTTGATCTATATTTATAAATTAGGCCATAGCCTTGCATTCTTTCTAATTTGGGATTGAGGTGTAGTTGGTTTATTTATGAGCATGAATGCATCAATTTGAAAGATGTTCTCTTTTTGCTTTATGAAAATTGAAAAATTTGCCCCCTCCCAAACAAAGGGGTATGTCCATAAAAATTCTCTCCTTGTGCTGAAATTGTCCCATTAAAACAAGCTGACATTTTAACTCAACTATAAGACTATCAAGGACAAATGTGTCCCTTTTTCATTCTCGTAAGAGTGAGTCGACATTGAGAGTGCTCAATTCTCAAGCGTCGTATGCCATATAAGAAAAATATGCTGTATGGTAGTATCTTATTGCAGGACTTCGTCATATCAAATTTTGTCTCTCTTAGGATTCCTTATTTCTCCTTCTTTTGCTGCATCTGAAACAGACAATCTCCGCATTTTTTAGTCGTGTTATGATTGCAGTTGGTGGAAATTCTGCTGGCCCAGGTGCATTCAAGTTTCCAAAGTGATACTTTCATATATTTCCACTGTACACCCCTTGTGAGTTTAACCTTTTTCTGAATCTCAGGTGATGCAGTTGTCAATGTGTACATTAATCATGAAAAGAAGTTTGCATTTGTGGAGATGAGAACGGTTGAAGAAGCCAGTAATGCAATGGCATTAGATGGAGTTGTTTTTGAGGCATGTCAAACTACAGCCTTCTCTCTCTCTCTCTCTCTCTCTAGGTTTTGGGATTCATCTAGTTTCTCTCTTTTGGCTCAATGAGAAGTGACTTAAAGTTCTAACACTTATCTTTTTTCAATTTGGGTGGAAGGGGGTAAGGTGGTGGTTTGGGAGTGTGAAGGAAAGAGCAAGGGAAACCCAAGGGACTTAAGATAATTTTTATATCTATGGCTAGAATGATATTTAACAACTTACTAATTGAAAAAAAATGATTCACTTCTAATGTTCCCCTTTATTCTTTTGTTTTGTTTGTGAGAATTTCCGTTATAATACATGAGATGGAAAAACAGTCCTGATTCTTCATGAATAGAACTGTATCCGTGGCTCCAGGTAATGAGATCCATCTATGTTCTATAGTACTCAATAATTCGGGTATCTTCATGAATCATCTCATTGAGGTTAGCTGAAGATGCTGATATGTTTTGATAGATGATGCAACTCTCATCATGTTGTGAGTAATAGAAAGCACTTCCAATCCTTTTTATTTTTTTATTCAAACGAAAGCACTAATGCTGAGAACTTTCTGACACCTTTTTCTGTATACTTGTTTGAGGGGCAAGAGTTTGGGAAATAACTTTTGACTTGAAATGAAATTTATGTGTTCGGCATGGATGTTTCAAGAGGAATAGTTTGGAAGACACCTTTAGGCTTTAAAGGAATTTTATAATTTCTTGTCAGCATTAATTCTCCATAATAGTAGTACTTGTTCCTATGAAGATGTTTTCTGCAGACAGATGAAAATCCTCAAATATTCTTCCCCATTGGCAATGACATATATAAATGAGTATTCTTTGTTGTTTGCTAAGCTGGGAGCTCGTGTCTCTAGTTCTTTGTTTCGCCATGTGCATTTGTTAGTCTAACTATTTGTTATTCTCTATTGTTTACTGTAAACAGGGTGTTTCCGTCAGAATTCGAAGGCCCACTGATTACAATCCTTCTTTGGCTGCTGCACTTGGTCCTGGCCATCCAAGCCCTCACCTTAACTTAGCTGCTGCTGGACTCATGCCTGGGTAAGTGGAAGTTGTCTATTTTCCTTCATTGTTGTTGCTGCTGAAATCGTGCCCCTGTTTCATGGTGGCCTAATTTTTGCTTGATTGGTATTAGAAAGGTAAGTTCTATAGCTAATTTTAAGGCCGGAAATATATTGGAGTGAATGATTGGCCGCTAAAGTCCAATATAACCACAAAATGAGTGTCACTGAGATACACATGCTAATTTGCCGTTGTACAAGATTGGAAACGACCACATTAGGCAGAGGGTGCAAGTAAGTAGCTTGCATCGAGAATAAAGTTAGAGATAGTTGCTTGAGATGGTTTGGTCGTATCTTGTGTCAACCTTCAGATGCACTGGTCTATAGATGCAAAACCATGTCGAGTGAATTTGTTATAAAGGGGACGAGATAGACCTAAAATCACATGAACGGAAGTTGTCTTGAAATCCCTATAACCTTTTAAAATGAACTCCTATAACCTCCCTCACTTATGATACTCGACAATGTCAGCATTCCTTTCAATGTCATGCAAACCTAGAGAAAAAGTACTATGGAAGGAAAAGATTTATTTAGACAATACCTTTTAGTTGGGACTATGCCCTATTTTGGGATTTGTTGCTCCCAATTGCACACGCAAGTGTACGTGGTCGCGCAAGTAATATAGTGACTCTTAAAAGAACCGGATTATTGAACCCAAAGGACTTGTCAATTAACTATTTACTAAATTATACTAGTCTAATTATTTATTTAAGAGTGCCAAAAGTGTTTGATTTTTATTTGTAAAGAAAAGAATGCATGAATGAAATAATAAAATTACTTACAGTGATTGGAAAATTCCAGGGCTGCAGCATGCATAGGGTTTCATGTATCACATCTCATGTATGAATTAGCTACGGTTATCAAATTACTGATTTACATGGTTGATTTTATGATCATGGTCTCCCGACCTCTAATTGCCTACTCCAATTAGCTGTCTAACTACATCGTTGAGCAGGGATAAGCAATCCTAATTGGCGAGCATTTATATTTCATCATGTTTTGTAACCAAGCTAGGTGTTCGTCCGGGCGTCTCTCCTAAACACAAATCTAATCAATTTAATGAAAGATCAAGCATTTTGTATCTCTACGGTGATCAAGCACGAAATACTAAAACAAGAATACAAAAGTAATTTAAAGTGATAACCAACATTAATTCAAAACAATTGATGTTCAACAATTACCCGTAGCCACAACCCCAGAACAAGGGTCTTTAGCTACTAATGTCTAAGAAAAGAAGAAGAAAAAAACCCTAAAAAGTATTGACAACTTTATACTTGATGTCCCCATAATAATTATTCTCATGGACTATTTATAGAAATAGAAACCCTAAATAAAATAACTGAGTCCAAAACAAATTGGGAAACCAAACCCAAAAAGGATTCAGTTTCCTAGTTGTGTATTATTCCGCCGCCACTTCCGCCGCCTTCAACTATTTGGAAATGCCTTCACATGAAGCCACGTGGCAGTAAGGCCAATATCAATTTGCTTTCTTTGGTTATCTGTACAATTTGTATAAATATGAATATAATATTCAATTTAATCCATTAAGCTGCCTGCTTGATTTCGTTGTATAATCTTCTATCTTTAATTCGTTTTAGCTCCAAACTTCTTCATCTTTACACCAATTTACTCCTACAAATAAAATGCACTATTTAGCACAATCCATAAAATTCATGCTAAAAAAAGACAAATAAAAATACTAAATGTGAGACAAATAATGATTAAAATATATATTTTTGGCCTCACATTAGGATTTTTCTTGGGAGGGGAAGTGGATCGAAGATGGGAGCATACATATGCTAAGTTACTTGGACTCAGCAAAATCGGTGCCGCACCCGTGTTGACATGACACTGACACGGGTAAGGGTGTGGGATCTGTATCGGATCCGGTCAAACTAGATCGGGTGTGTCGACCAACAATTCAGAGAAGAAAATTGAAAATTTTGATATCTCAAAGCAAATATTTGGATAGATCGGAAATAAATACCTTCAATTTTTCTGTTGTATAGTGATTTATACTAGTCCTTTGTGTCCTTCGAAGGTTTTTTCTTGATAAATTAGAGTGATGTACCGTACCAAAGCTCTCGTGCTAAGCACACATTGGTGTATGAATTTGTGAGAGAGGAGATGTGTCCCGTTTTGGAACTGAACTAGGGTTCTTCATTGTTTTGTTTCTCTGGCTGCTTCATTTTATGCATGATTGGAGAAGAGGGGAACGTGGGGGTTTGGAGAAATAGGATGTGGGTCGGGTCGGTCATGGTTTGGGCCAGATTTGGTTTTGAACATTGGGCTAAATTTGGCTGAATATTTGGACATGGAAGATGGTCCATAACATGAGTGAGACCAGGTCCCTTGGAGTCTTCTTATCAAAAATAAAATCAAAATTAGAGTATTATTTAAATGAAAAATAATTTTCGATTTAAATTAGAGTATTATTTAATCATAATTAGACCAGGTCCCTTCGACGGTACATTATAAGTTTTCCATAGTGTCTCATATTTATGTATATTTTTAGATTTTTAGTTTTTTTTTTGCCGAGTCCCCGCACCCATATTCGTATCTAGATTCATATCCTGAATCTTAAAAATTAGATCATGAAGGATCCGACATGCGGATCCACACCCGTGTTGGACTCCCGCACCGAGTCCGAGCAACTTAGTACAGATGCACACCAAGCACCCTTACACTGAGAAATTATGATTCTTACAATTGCAGTGCTTTGTTGTCTTCTATTTTGGGAGACTATTTTGTGTATGGTTTTTGTTCTAACAAATAATGTTATTCTTTTCCTCTTAAGTTCTTTCTTACCCTGCCAAGCTGTTTCCTTTTTTGTTTTTGTCTTCATGTGCATATTTTTCTCATCAGAGCAACTGGGGATGCGGAGGACCAAGATCGTATTTTTATTGGTGGATTGCCATACCTTTTTACTGAGGTGCAGATAAAAGAATTACTGGAGTCTTTCGGGTACACAAATCTTTATTAGATGGCCATTATCACTAAGTTTCAGAATTTTACTGGAGCTCTAATGTACTGAATGTTGTCTAGTGCAGACCTTTGCGTAGATTTGAGGTGGTGAAGGATAGAGACACAGGAAACTCTAAAGGTTATGGTTTCTGCACATATCAGGTGATTAAGTTGATATCTAAGTTTATTCTTGCCTTAGACTTTTTAGATGTAGAAAATGTTCCAACTCTTTCCATATCAAGATTGATTTTTGAAAGCTAATTAATTAGACGTGTTTCTTCTTTTGATCTTCATTTTTGAACCGTAAATATCGTTCCATAATTTGATTATTTACTTGTTATTACTAATTTGATCCCATGCTTTTCAGGCTGAAAATCTGCTATTTTTGAAAGTGTTGGCTTTATAGTTTATGTGCATCATTTATATTCTTGTAAAAGCAAGATCACATACTCTTCCTCTCAATTACTTGATTGAGTTGATCCTATGGTTTGAGATTGAGAGCTTGCTGATTGATGTCTAGGGTTTATAGTTTTGCCTTTTAGGCTCAAATATTTTTGTTGTATTGCTTCCTTTTATTTCGTTGATACTTCAAATTTATTTTTTAATACTGCATCAAGCATTGTCATATACTTCACTTTTTTGTTGGTACTTCAGATGTCTGGTTTATAATTTTGCCTTTCAGGCTCAAATATTTTTCTTTTATTGCTTCTTTTTGTTTTTGTTGATACTTAAAACTTTTTTTTAAAATGCATCAAACATTGTGTTTCTCTATGGTTTTTCACTTCTTCCGTATTACTCCACTTATCAGTTAATGTGGTACCTCAGACTCTCAATCATCTACTTCCCCTGCAGCCTCCACTTCAGTTCCACATTATGGGATCTCATAGATACCTGGGCTGATCCTACAGCCCAACTCTGCTTCCTTACTGCAGCATATCAGCCATTTGCAGATAATTTGCTTTATCTCTCTCCATTCTTCCTATTCTTGATATTCTCATTATTCCTCCCGTCATAGTTTACTGAAGATGTTGCTGATAAGAAAAAGTTCACTGAAGATGTCAATCTGTTTAGTTAAAATTTACAAATGAGGCCTCCAATTTTTTTAGATTTCCGAGAATAGATAGAATTTTGTTCTCCTTGCCAGCACATTTCTCCGTCCAGCCTCTTTCTACATTGATTAATAGGATATGGTCTCATCTTCATGCCAGTTGAGTAAAATGCTCAAAAGTTTTTCAAATCTGCAGAGGTTTCGCTGAGTCAACACTGAATTGTCCTCTGTTTATTATAGATCTCGATTTTTCACCTCCTTTAAATAAAATGCTATTGCTTCTTGATAATGCTGAAGAAGGTTCTACGTTATAATGGGTAGCTGACCAACTCTTACTTGCTTCAGAATCCATTGGATACAGACATGGCTTGTGCTTCTTTAAATGGCTTAAAAATGGGTGACAAGACACTGACGGTTCGACGCGCTACCTCTAGGTATGTTCTCATCTAGTTTGTAGGAAATCTAATGATTGAAGACTGGCAATATGTGAGGCTATGCAAAATTTTGGCCTGCAGTAATGTAATCCGGATTTCATCTCCTAAACTTTTTTTTTCTATGAAATATTGCTTTTGAAATTTTCTGCAAGTCTTGCATTACCTCTTTGTTTGTGTCTTAGTTGAATGAATTTGTAATGGCTTCTTTGTCGTACATTTATTCCTGCGTAGCATCTGAAGCAATCATTTATAGTAACAAATCAATTTTTCTAAACTGAACTCGTCTGATTGCTTACTTTTGTGTTCAAACATCATCCGGATCTACACTGTGTACATTGCCAGATTATTATGTTTTTGAGGTTCATGTTTAAGTGTTGACCTTCCTGTGAGATGAAATATGGAAGTACATTATGCTACCAAAGAAACATGTGTCTTCAACGTATTTGGATAGTCTGAGATGTTGTTATGTCAATTTTGTCAATCTTTGGGAAGAGCGTACCAACTGATAATTCAGAATCAAATTTTGTTTATTTTTTCAGTAAAGATTCTTGTGCTTTTAGAAACAAATGCCTTGCATGCTCTCTTCGTCCATCTCAAAAAGTAGAATTTGTAAACTGCTTTGAACTTAACAATGTTCAGCAGCCAAGTAAACTTTTGAATGATGATTAACTTCTTTCCCTATACCGACTATATCGTCCATATGCTGCTGAAGGGGTGTTTGGTTTCTGGGAACCACACTTCTTGTTTGGATTTTGGAAAGGGCTATTCTGTATTTAACCCTCCATGGTAATTTACTGTGCTCTTTTATGACTTATTTCCGATCATGTTTACAGTAGTGGGCAGGTGAAATCTGAACAGGAGTGTATATTAGCTCAGGCAAGGCAGCACATAGCTATGCAGGTTGAATACTTTCTACTGTATTAACTTATTATTCTAAATACTCCCTTTGTCCCAAAAGTTTCGACATTTTTCACTTCCTGAGTTTTGAGCTAAGTGAACTTTGACTAACATTTTAGAATAATGTTCATGTGCAGTTTGATATGTGCGAATTGCAATTTGTAGTACTTTTTGTGAAACTTCTAATGTCTAATTTTAATTCAATATAATAAATAAAATTGATCTGATCTAACTCCTAAAATTGGTCAAATTGACCTCAATAAGCTAAAGGTGACTGGGACGCAGTGTGCATTTTCCCTTAATTTTGAATGCTGAAGATTACGGTGCTTGCTTGCAGAAAATGGCTTTTGAAGCTAGTGGTATGACTATTCCTGGTACCGAGATAGGGCCTGTTGTGACTGCTGAAATTCCAACCAAGGTCTTATGCTTAACTGAGGTATTTGCTAGTCTGGGAAAGGTTATAGAACTTATATTTAAAGACAATGGTAAAATACTGTAGTAATGCTAATGAGTTATCTTCCTCTGAATATTTGAAGGTGATCACCCCTCAAGAATTATTTGACGATGTAGAGTATGGAGAAATTTTGGAAGACATGAAAGAAGAAGGCCAAAAATTTGGTAACTGCAGCTTCTCATTTCAATCTGTTTCCCGTGTTCACATTGAAATTGTTTCTATTCAAAAAAAGATGATTGAACATGAGACACTTTTAAATTGATTTATTATGAGGCCGCTTTAAATAACCGCAGTAGTACCAGGGAGGGTTATCTTCTCTTTGATAACTCGTAAAAACGACCAAAAGCTCTAGTATGATGTTTGATTTCTCACCTCCATAATTGGATGAACCAATGATTTAAGACTTAAATGAAGAAGAGATTAAGGGAAAAAAGGTAACTGGATTTATAATAGTTTTTGGTTCTATGGGCAAAACATTTTTGAATAGATGATAAAAGATTGGGTACCTTTGTAGAACAATATGCTTCAACTGTTCGTGTTTGAACTTTCAGCCATGAATTTTGTCTTGCAAGCTGCTCTATAAAGTCGATTTCACTCACAGGACTACCCACTGTTTTTTCCCTCATAAGTCTCTGCTACTTACATAACATGGGCCTTTGACGTGTTCCCCCATTTATGTGGATTCTTATCTTTCAATTTGTTAAAATTTCCTAATATATTGTGCATCCTTTTTTGTTTTGGGTTTTCCTTTTATGTGTGCTACTCAATCTGTACAATTAAGTATTTGATAAGTCAGTATCGTATTTCCTTTGGCTGAATTATAGGTGACTTGATTGATGTTGTTATTCCTCGGCCAGAACCTGATCAAAAAATGGTGGATGGTTTTGGGAAGGTAATAATGTTGTCATTTTTACGTGTCTAACCTTTAGGAATTAATTCAATTTTGTTATGCTGAGCATTTGTTGTATCCGTGCTGTGTGTTCTGCAAATACTTTTTATTGTTCAATTGAGCAATGAAACCTGTACAACTTTGCTGCCATAGATAGCCCATGGTCACTTGCTGGTTGACATTGGTAAAAATAAAGTGCTCTGTTACTAAAAGTTATCGCTTATTTTCCTTTTTACTGTTTGATTCTAGATTTTGAGATCATCATAGAATTACCAGTTTAGGCAATTTTTGAATGAAGATGTGATGCATAAGCATTTTTAGGTTTTTCTTTCCTCATCTGTCTCTTATATGTTTTAATCCTCAACATTTTGCTGCACAGAGAATTGAAACGACTCATTATTTAATCCTCATTAAAAATGCACACAAAATGTAGCATGACTATCAAATGATCATTTTGCTAGTAATGTACATCTTGATAGTTCCCCCTGCATGGGTGTTATATATAGCCATAAATCAATAGTCAGGATAATACGCAACAATTATAGGAGTCTTTTTCGATCTTGATTCCCCTCTCCTTTCAGATGGTTTTGTGTTTCAAATTGCAGGTATTTCTTGAGTACTCTGACACTATCGGTTGCACTAAAGCAAAGGCAGCACTTGGTGGCAGGAAATTTGGAGGGAATACTGCTGTTGCCATTTTTTATCCTGAAGACAAATACTACAAGAAGGATTATGCCTCTTAGGTTTCTGAATATCTTCCATGTTTATATAGTCTTGTATAGTTTTAGTGCTTGTAATCATCCATTTAGCTACGGTCAAGGCTGTTTGATAATTTTTTCTTCTATCACAATTGAAATGCTAACCTACCCATGGTGGGTTGTTTGAGCTCTTTGATATAGTCTCTCTATTAGGAGAAGTTTTTCATGTTTCAAACTACTGTAATGACCAGATTTTAGATGGTACCAGATTTAATATCAATATAATTCTCAATACTACTAACATATAAGCCTTGTTCAACTACTAGTTGATACCAACTTATAGATTTCTTCATGTGATTTTAAATCTATCTGATTTTAGCGTATTCAATTATCATATAACTCACCTATAGATTGGTGCATGTAGATGTTTAATATGACATAATCATATCGCCTTTTTAGACACTTTAATCTAATTTTTATTCTCTTTTGGGTTACTTATACCTTATGTTGGATACAATCACTTCTAGTACTACTAATACTTTTCAATTTTATTCGATTACACATTTATCTAAACATTCACATTTCAATGATAAGTCATTTATTAATTAGTTGAGGTTTAAATGTGTCAATATTCATTTCAATCTAAGTACTAATGTTAACATAACACGAAGAGCAAGAGAGTGAATGAATAATCAGATCTCTTTCTCATTTTCTATTTAAGACAACATAAAAGTTAAAACTACAAAAGGAAAAAAATATAAAATTAAAAGTAGAGATTCAAGAACGTGAAGAAATGCCAAAAGGGAGTATATAGTAAAGTTTTATCCAAAAAGTATGGTTTGCTGATTAGGATTTGCGTCACTGTCAATTCATAGTTTTATAGTTATAGATAAACTTTGACCTATCCTCCAATTTCCCAATTAACCAAGAATTAAATTTACTACATTTGTCATGAATAATCAATTTTAATCCAAGATTTGTTGGGAACTAAAATCCTCAAGCAACCAATGGTCTAATCTAACTTGGCCATTTCATAAGATTAACATATTCTTTTTGTTATCCATCTCAAGTTTTAAAGTGAAAAAGAAAATATTTATTTAATCCAAGAATTGTTGGGAACTACAATCCTCAAACACAACCAATGGTCTAACTCTTGACCATATTATAAGATTAACATATTCTTTATATTATCCACCTCAAGTTTAAAGTGAAAAACAAAAAAATATTTTTTAATCCAAGAAATCTTTATGCACTAAAAATCCTGAAAAATAACCAATGGCCTCACTTGTCCATTTGATTAGGTTCCATGTCATCCACCTCAGGTTAAAAGAGGGGGGAAATGAGTTTTTTTTTATTCTATGGCCCCACTAAAATCCTCAAAAACAATCAATGGCCCCACTTGCCCATTTTTATAAAATTAACTTAACTTTCTCTCCATCTCAAGATTATTAATGGATAATGTTGACACTTTTTGTCTCCTCCAACCCTCTTAGCTATAAATACTCGTCAAATCACATATCATCTCTTATATTTTTTAACAAAGTTTATCACCTTGTTTGTGCTTTCTCACTACCCCAATTTACTTTTTCATTGATTTTGTTTGAGAAGAAAGAAAATGTTGGCAATTTTCAAGAAAAGTGTGGTTGATCCACCAAAGGAGCTGCAGAGCCCAGCCTCTTTGCAATCATCAAACAAGGCTGTTTCCCCTGAAGAGACTATGAAGAATTTCTTAGCTTCAAATTCCAACAATGGGTTTTCCATTGGATTCATGGACAAGGCATTCTTGGCCTATTCCAAACCTCCATCCTCATCAAATGCTCAACAAAGGTGAATCTTTTAAACCCCCCACCAAAAGAAGAAAGAAAGAACCCATGCCTCTGCTATCTTGAGATTTGGCTATATTATTTATGAAATGATCATAAAGATTCAATTTTTCACTAGTAAATGAACAAAAAGATAAAGTGGGATGCTAAATGTTAATGATTATTTCTTGAATTCTTCATTATTATTTTTTGTCATTTTGCTGCTTCTTATGTGTGGTAATAATGAGACAAATGTATAACTTTTTTCTCTTTTCCAGGTTGTTCTGTGGGTTGAATGACATATACTGCATTTTCTTGGGAAGCTTGAACAACTTATGGGCACTAAACAAGCAGTATGGTCTGTCAAAGGGTACCAATGAGGCCATGCTTGTGAGTGAAGCATATCGCACCCTCCGTGACAGAGGCCCATTCCCAGCTCATGAGGTCCTCAAGGGACTTGAGGGTAGCTTTGGCTTTGTGATCTATGATCATAAGGCTGGTAATGTCTTTGTTGCCCTTGTAAGTTCTTTCCTAGTTCTAAAGTTTATCCCCATCAATATGCAATTTTTAATAATGGTAGTTTTCGAGCCCGTTAGTGCTGAGCACCTCAACTATTCATTAGGTACATGTTACCTCCTACCAAACTACGGTTTAGGCAGATAGAAAGAAATGACTTTGGCAGATTTTAACTCTTTCTTGCAGATACAATCACCAAAAGAAAGTGCATTTTCTCTACAAATGTATATAAACAACACTTTCTTACTCTAATTGGAGATGGAATGATGGTGATATCAATCTTGAAAGGAAACATATACAATAGATTATTTATTATATTCTATTAAGACATAATTTACTTTTTTTCTCTTTCATTGAATGTCATGAATGGTGTCTATGTATAGGGTGCTGATGAAACTGCAAAGATGTTCTGGGGAATAGCATCTGATGGATCTGTCATGATCTCTGATAGTGTGGATCATATCAAAGGAAGCTGTCTCAAATCATTTGCTCCCTTCCCAAGTGGTATGTAGCTCAAATTGGACCAATGCTTAACGCAAATTGTCTTTATCTTTTCCAGTTACACTTGACAGGAGGTTGATGGGATACAACTTCTCCTTTTAATGAGAAAAACGCATTGAAAAAAAAAATTGATTTTTGATGAGATGGATATCTTGGCAGGGTGCATGTACCACAGTGAAAGTGGATTGAAGAGCTTTGAGCATCCAAGTTACAAGATGAAAGCAATGCCAAGAGTGGATAGTGAAGGAGCCATGTGTGGAGCTTGCTTCAAAGTTGATGTCTACTCCAAGGTGAATAGCATGCCAAGAGTTGGAAGTTCTGCCAACTGGGCTAATTGGGGCCAGCAGGCTTAGGTTCATTTGGACCTCATTTTAACTAACTACAATATAAAGAAGAAAAGAAAAAAGTACTTTATCTTTGTCTTCATTCTTGTTGTTATTTTCTGTTTCCCTGTTGTATTTCAATAAGCCTCCTGCATCTTCCATAAGGGCCTCAGCTTTGTAAATTTCACATGAGGTTCCAACATGAGAAGATTGTTGAGTTTCCCTTTTTGTTTGTTTGTTTAGTTCCTAAGTGTTGAAAAAGTAATGAGCAATTAGAACAATCTATAGTTATTTGTAATGACAATTAAGATGCAATGACCATGTAGTTGTTTTCTTCACAAAATTTGTGCTAAACCCCTTTAAGTTTCTGTAAATATTGAGCCCCATCCCTCATCCCTAAAATAATTTATTTCAACCACTATGAAATTATCCAGAGATAGATGGTTGGCTACTCACTAACATGAGTGAACAATTTGAATTTGAAGCTTACAAAGGAGGATGCACAGAAAGCTGAACAGGTCATCTCATCTATGTCATCAGATGAGTTGGAAAGAATGGTGAGATGGGCAGCAAGGATTCAAACAGGAATACAAGTTCTCAAGATTACCAAAGATTTTGTCATGGCAAATCCTGGCATGAGCTTGGCACTTTTTGTGCCCATTTTAGCAGTCTTCCTTCACCTGTTTGGCTACATCTGAGCTTTTTCTGTTCTTTTATATTTTCTTGGCATGTTAGGAAAATTCATTCATTTTTTCTTATCAGTTAATAAAATTCTATACAGAACAGCACTAAATAGTGCTGGATATGTACAATATAGCATTACAAGAAACTCATACTCCTTAACTATTCTTGCTAGGACTTGAAGAGATCTATTTCAGCATCATAAACAATATACTTTCTACACCAAAAAGTTAAGCTGTGATCATGTCTAGATCTCTTTTGATTTGTTACCTTTTGATAGAAATCTGTATCCGAAACCTGCTAGCCTGACTTACCTGGATTCGTGCTGGTAGGCCTACTAAGAGAGTGAAGTGCTCCCTCTTAGAAATTCTCCATTCCTAGTACTGAACTGTTACCAAGTCCTCTCATTCCTAGACACAATGATAGCTACTTGGTAGTCTTTGGGAAGACCCAGTTCAAGATAAAAATGCAAAGAAACCTTTCATATATGTATTTGCAACTGAATGTAGCAGAAATAGATAATTTTTATCTTCTGTATTTCGAATGTGTATCATTATCTTAAACTAAGATACCTTTTACATCCCAAGTTTTTAATGAAAATCTCACCCTCATTTGACTTAAAGAACTGCTGGTTCAACTGTAACTACTGGATAAGGAACCAAGATGGTGTAATATTAATCATGTGCTAGATATACACTTGGGTTTATTCTCATTTGTTATATAACATTTAGTAATGGAATCTGCAATGTGGATCTAAATAGTGCTTTATGGACCATGATTCAGGCTGCATATCTTATTTCATTTCTCATAATCCTAATCTTGAACAAACTTTCAGATTTAGTATTCTTGGTTCTATTTTGAAACCTCGTATTCTTCAATCACTTAGATGGTGGTTTCAGGTGAACGAGAAAGGAAGAAAAGAAATCATAACAGCTAGACCAACCAAATATTCATGTTCTATGTTTTTTTTGAGTATGTCACCATTTGTATGTGTGTAGGTGTGGGGGGTGCGTGCTGCAAAATAGAAACTCATTTGTTATCAATGAATGTTGAATAAGTAAGACTTAAAATGGTTCAACAAATATAGGCCTATGCTCATTCCCAAATAGGCTATTTTCAAGCCACTCTTGTATTTTAATTATGTCAGAGTTTTGTGAATCTGTACAATGATTCCATTATTTGCCATATACTGCTGTTGTTCTCGGTAAACTCTTTTTTAAAAATCATTAGCTGATAATCCACATATCCATACAGCTCAAGAAGCTTCAAAGTAGGTATATCATCAATCTAAATACTTCTCAGCAAGCTCTTCTAACTCTTTTGGTGACAGATCCAGAAGCTGAGGTTGGGTCTGAGCTTCGAGCTTGAGGGGAGAATTAGTCTGAATAGAGCATACTGGTGAGTCTCACACTTGTTCCATCAAAAACTCTGGTGTTTCAGATATTTCTTTTAAATATTTTTCACATTTGTATAAACTGCTCTTGGATGCTCCTACTTACTCTGATACTGTTTTTTTTTTCTTGCACTCTGTTTTGAACTGTTAATTAAGTCTTTTAGTATTGCTAGATCTGTCAATGTTATGGAGAATGTCAGTGTTGTATTTTACATGGTACATGATTTCATTTACCCTATGTTCTAAGTTAGAAGGTCAAATGTAATTCCATCATTCAAGCAAAAGCAAAGTACAACGCCAAGTAAACGTTCATATAGATATGCAACTGATCGATCGAAGATATAACTTAAATAATTGTACAACCCCCTAACCTCCACATAAAAAATAAAACTAAAAAAAACTATAAAAAGGATATGAAGATCACATAATGGTTAGCTTGGCAAAGTATCTTTTAAACAAGAGGAGTAGCAAACTCTAGGAGCTCTTTGTTACTCTGAAATACTGACATATCAACTTCTGTCAAAGTGAGTAGTGCATTTATCCCGTCTCCACTTGGGTCATCCATTAAAGTTAAGTTGTTCTTCATTGGATTTTTTGGTGGGGTCACCCTTGTAGGGCTACCCCATCCAAAATCAACCTTATATAGCCCTAAATGGCACAAGCTGGCACATAGATAAAAATCATATTCCATGTCTTATGTGTTCTTACCCGCTGGCTCTAATATGATTTCCATAAGTGAACGTGAGGCTAGCTAATCTCGAAGATGTTGTTTTGCCTTGCGTAGCTGAGCAACGAAGTGGGGCACTTGTATCTCATCTTCTGTCGCTGCTACTGTGTTAAAGAAATGAACACCATTTCCGATGGTGTTTAGAGGCAATGGTGGGTGTAAATTCATTAGATGGCACGATAGAGATTGTTTGAACAAGCCGGAATTATTTGCCTCTGATGCTGCCTTCCACATTTATGAACAAGTGCTGTGGCAACTTCAAATCGAGTTGGATTCTGCACTCCTGGATTCGTTGAAAGTGTGTCCTTGAGTCTGCCCCAACTAGAGGATGAGAAATGGTACATTCTTGACACACATGGTTGATGTTGATCACGTAGAACATCGGGTACAACATATACTGGAGGATCATCCATTAGTAGGAAGAAAAAATTCGCATCAAACTGAGGAGATGGTTTGAAATCTGACTCTCGAGTTATAGCAGCCCAATCATTCAGGAACTTAGAGATACTCAACAATCTTATGTGATATGCATACACTGACTGCTGTTCCACCACAATCGAAATGGCTTAATTGGACCACTAGTAGCCTTCTGTCGTTGAATGAACTAGGAGTCCTCCAAGGCAAGTCTTGTGAGTACTAAATCTGTAGCATGGTTGAGAAGTTCAGACATTGGACGACTGACTCAGACATTTAAATACTCCGCACCTATGACATTGCAATCAACATAGGAGCATTTATCATCCATGATTAATCTTCCGGCAAAGGGATAATAAAAGGCTAATACTTTGAATGGGAGTTTTCAAGAATCTGGCTTTACATTGTTTGCTGCAGGTTTGGAGTATAAGACGGCCATTGGAGCGTATGCAGGAGTAGCCATGTGATCACTGAGAGAGAAGATTGTGACGTATACGTGAAGCAGGGGTGGGAGAGGAGGGCTTGATGATCTTTTGTGAAATAATCGTCGATAACACCATTTCTGTGAGCACAGGTCAGGTCCTTCGAAAGTACTAGTTTGTAAGTCTTAAGGTTTAAATTCCTGCAGTATAATGTGGAAGGAAGATAGTAACGGTTAATAATTATATTACATGACTTGTATGATCTATGCATTCTCTCGTGTTGTAAAAGTAATTGTTAAGCGGGTCAAGATGAGTATGTTTAAATTAATAGGATCAATAATTGTACAAGAAGGTTGACTTCATAAATACTTTAGATTATATCATTTGATGCACTTCCATCTCATTCTTTAAGTACCAACAGGAAGTTTTATATATAATTTCATTCCAAGTTGACATTGAGACTGTTTTGACTAGTGATATAAATATCACAGCTGTGGCTAATAATACTACATTGTTTTTTAATTCAATGATCCCCAATTTAGATGTTCCTCTACATATGGAAATAGTGTCTTCCTCGTTTTCCAAAAGCTATCAATTTACTGTAAGAACTTCGATAAAACTCATTCGATCTTCTATAGTGACTTCCGGACCATTCCATTCATCGTCTTCGAACTCCACCGACTGCTACTCGCCAGATGCTCCTATTTCTTATTCCTTATGAACGATCCGTTCTTGCATCTGTGAACATCTTTTATAACTAGTTGTAGCGTCAGCAACAGTGGGTGTATCTATATAGGAGTTCAAGCAATCTTTAAATTTTGGTTATGTAGCTTATGCTACAAATTTAGGGCTCGTTTGGTGTGAGGTATAATAACAAATAGTCCCGGGATTAAATTATAGTACCGCTTATTTTGTTGTTTGGTTGGCAAGTTCGGGATAACTTATCCCGGGATTAATAATTAGTACCGGGATAAGTTATCCCTCTCCTTGGGTGGTATAGTAATCCCGGGATAAATTATCCCGGGATAAAATAGGTAAATGACAAAAATGTCTCTTTCAACCCTTTTGTTATATCACTTTTTACATTAATGAAGGGCATTTTTGTAAACAAATAAATTGTTCTTAAAATTTATTATTTTGAATACAACAAACCAAACACTCAATAAAAAATAATCCCAACACAACTTATCCCATCATAACTAATCCCAACATAACTTATCCCAACATAACTTATCCCATCATAACTCATTTTCAAACCAAACGACCCCTAATTGTTTTATTTAGGAGGTCAACTTAAACTGTAACACCCCTTTATCCTTCCCCATTATAAATCATGGTTTTTAATTAAGGAAACAGAAATATCTACGTACTGTTAAAAGATTGAATAAACGGGACAGAAAACTACGATTAGAACCAGAGGCCATCTTAATTAGTTCAAATTTTTTATTTTCCCTTCCAAGCTTCTTTGTTTATGTAACTGAAGATAGTTAAGCAAAGCACATGATTTACAATTTCAGTCATCATTCATACCATCTGGGTTATTCACAATTCATGCATCAATAAAATTTCAAAAAGATAAATAAAACCCTTCCCCACCTTTGGCTTGCAAAAATTCCACCCCATGGCACTTAAGATTTTACTTATAAATAGATGGAATCGGTTTTAATCAACGAGAAAAACTGAAGAGAAGACCGCACAAAGAAATCGAGCATAAACAAGACGCAGTCTAAGAAACTCAACCAGAAACTATTGCAATATCTGAGCTAGTAGAGACTCAATACAATATGGCACAAGTATAACCAGCAGGACAGTGAAACACTTGTATAGGACTTTGAACGCAAAGCAAGCCAAGGCAACCCCCCAAACCTTCCCACTCATTTATTAAGCCCATGTAATAACAACTACCGCAGCAACCATAGTCACCAGAAATAACGGGGGGGGGGGGGGGGAGAGAGAGAGAGATAGGCATTTCAGTTGAGCAAATCTGATTACTTGACGACTACTTGGAGCAAACGGATTGCCCTCATATAAACAACAAATGTGCCAATATTATACACAACTACAACCCCAGAAAAGCTCTGGTTTGGGA